CTATGTTTGGAGAGGGGTCAACAAGGCCTATAATGAAAAGAATACCATTCCCACTGTGAAGCATGGTTGTGGCTCACTGATGTTTTAACTTTACACTCTAACATTTGTCATCATTATAATATCAGCACTACTTTAGGTATCCATTTCTCATGCTCACATTGCCCATAGTCACAGTGATGATGATGTCCTAGACCAGGGGTGCCCCCCAAAAAAAGAGATGACTGATGGGAAAAAAATGATTGATGGCTAGGAGACAGTCACTAAATATTGATTTTATTTACAGATTAAGTGAGAAATAACCAAAAGAGGGAAAAAAAAGGAGCAGTAACAAAATATTGATAAATTATGTATTTAAAAAAAACTATATAAATCTATATTTCTATAGATAAAATTTTTTCTGCTTGCTTAAACTCCCTCACTGTGTTCACCTCTACCACTTCAGCTGGAAGGCTATTCATGCATCCACTACCCTCTCAGTAAAGTAATACTCCCTGATATTATTTTTAAACCTTAGCCCCACTAATTTAAAGGGACACCAGAACAACTACAACTTATTGTAGTTGTTCTGGTGAGTATAGTATGTCACTGCAAGCATTTTAATGTAAACACTGTCTTTTCAGAGGAAAAATGTGAGTGCTGCACAACGTACAGCACTGAAGTTCAGCGTCTCTAAGCTCTGCATGGAGATGCTAATCATTTCCCATAGAGGTGGATTGATTGGCCAGGGTGGCCCCGCCTCCTTGACTGAGGTCATCCCTTTCCCTATGGGAAAGCATTAATTTGGCTGGGATGGTCAATTCTGATGTCAGCTAAGTAGGCAGATAGAGGGCAGGGCCTGTGCGTCTGTGAATTTTCACATTATTTAAGGGGGTAAGAGGAGACTGTGGGCTACATATTTGTGTTTTTAACTCTGTAGGATCAGGAATACATGTTTATTTTCCTGACCTTATAGTGTTCCTTTAAGACTATGTCCTCTTGTTATGGTAGTTTTTCTTCTTTTAAATTTACTCTCCTCCTTTATTGTGTTGATTCCCTTTACATATTTAAATGTTTCTATCATATCCCCCCTGTCTCGTCTTTCCTCCAAGCTATACATGTTAAGATCCTTTAACCTTTCCTGGTAAGTTTTACCCTGCAATCCATGAACCTTTTTTTATTGGCCCTTTTTTGAACTCTCTCAAAAGTATCAATATCCTTCTGGAGATAAGGTCTCCAGTACTGTGTACAATACTCCAAGTGAGGTCTCACCAGTGTACTGTACAATGGCATGAGCACTTCCCTCTTTCTACTGCTAATACCTCTCCCTATATAACCAAGCTGATCTATTACATTGTCTACCTACCTTTAAGTCATCTGAAATAATTACCCCTAAATCCTTTCCCTCAGATGCTGAGGTTAGGACTGTATTAAACATTCTAAACTCTGCCTTGGGTTTTTATGCCCAAGATGGACTATCTTGCACTTATCTATATTAAATGTCAGTTGACACAGCACTGACTATATTTCTAGTTTACCTAAATCATTTACCATTTGGCGTATCCCTCCTGGAACATCAACCCCGTTACATATCTTTGTATCATCAGCAAAAAGGCATACCTTACCATCAAGACCTTCTGCAATATCACTAATAAATTTTTTAAAGAGAATGGGTCCAAGTACAGATCCCTGAGGTACTCCAATGGTGACAAGCCCATGCTTCGAATATGCTCCATTTACTACAACCCTCTGTTGCCTGTCACACACCACTGTCTAACCCATTCAACAATATTGGAATCCAAACACAAAGATTGCAGTTTATTGAATGCCTTCCATGTATGACAGTGTCAAAGCCTTACTGAAATCTAGGTAAGCAATGTCTACTGCACCATCCTCATCTATTATTTTAGTTACCCAATCAAAAGAATCTATAAGATTAGTTTGGCATGATCTCCCTGTAATAAACCCATGTTGACTCTGATCTTGAAATCTATGTGATTTTTAGATGTTCAACAATCCTATCCTTTAACATGGTTTCCATCATGTTCCCCACTACTGAAGTAAGGCTTTCTGGCCTATAGTTGGCCAACTCCTCCCTAGTACTTTTCTTGCTAATTGGCACAACATTTGCTAATTTCAAAACTTCTGGGACGACTTTTGTTAACAATGATTGGTTAAATGAATCCATTAACTGTTATGCTAGTACACCACTAAGTTCTTTTAATAACTTTGGGTGTATCCCATCAGGCCCCATCCACTTATTTGTCTTAACTTTAGACAGCTGATGTCACGAACTCCGGAACCAGACACGCTGACAGAACACAGACACAGAAAGTGCAGTACTGGTCCTTAGAGTGGCCAGGCTGTGCACACAAAGAGAAGTCAGGATACAAGCCAAAGTTAGAGGGAGCCAGAGAAACAGAATAACCGATAAGTCAAGCTGAGGTCAGAGGTTAGAGAAAACAGGATAAATGGTAAAACAAGCCAAGATTCGTTAACCAGAAAATCAGACAAACGGACAGAGTATACGCGCTATTGGGCTATCAAAAGACCACAACAGGGTAACAAGACATGGAAGAGGTAGGTTTAACTATGCTTATGAGGCTTCTGACTGGCTAACTTTCAATTGGAATTAATTATTACACGTGGAAGGTATTTGGACCTTCCACTTTGACCTATGACATCATATTTGCGCACCGAGTCATGTGACTGATTTGGGCGCCTATTTACACACGCTGTATGCAAGCGTGCAGCGTCCGACTTGCTGCCATGGGGAGCAGCCATGGGCAGCATACGGGTGCCAGAAACCACTGCTTGCGGCAAGCGAGAGTGTGAAGGAAAGAACCGTGGGCGGTGTGAGCCTGTGGAGTGCAGTTAGGAGGAAGCCGTGAACAGTACCCTGACAGCTAAAGTAGAACCTCTTGCTCTGTAAACTCACATGTAACATATGACTCAGTCTTTTTTCCTAAGGTCCCTTTCCTTCATTTTATTTGTAAATACTGAACAAAAATATCCATTGAGACAGTCAGCTACACCTGTATCCTCTTCTACATAACTTCCTTCTTTTGTCTTTAGTCTAACTAATTCTTGTTTTACTTTCCTTACTGTATTTATTATTTATTCTTATTTATATATCTACAAAAAGTGTTTTCACTCTTTTTTACTGACTGGGCTATTTTTTCTTCTGTGTGTGCTTGGTAAGGTCTTATAACTTGATTTGCCTCTTTCTGCCTAATCTTATAGATTTGTCTATCTTCCTCATTATGTTTTTTTATAATTACTTTATGCTAACTTTTAGTTTTTTTACTATTTTGGCCACTTCTGTGGAGTACCACAGTGGTTCCTTTAATTGTTTGCTCTTACTGCCAAGCCTAATCAATTTTCTGTTGCCTTCAGTAGTGACACTTTTAAATAATCTGATTTCTCCTGGACTCCATTTAAACTGCTCTAGTCTGATAATGACTCCTTTACACAAATTCTAATTTTAGAAAAGTCTGTTTTTCTAAAGTCTAACACTTTTGTTTATGTGTGGTGTTACTCACTGTTCCTCTATTAAACCACACTGACTAATGATTACTGGATCCTAAACTTTCACCTACAGTAATATCTAAAACCAAATCTCCATTTGTTATCACTAAATCTAGCACGGGCTTTAGATATGTGTACCTACATCAGGATGATTAAAGTCACACATGACAATAACTTCCTTCTCCAATGTCATTTTAGCTATCTCCTCAGCTAGTAGATTATCTAGCTAATCTGTTTGTCCAAGTGGACCATAAATCACTGTTTTATTACCAAATTCTAACGTAACCCAAACTGACTCAATGTTCACATAACTAACTTGTATCAGGTTAGATTTTATGTTATCCTTCACATAAAGGGACACACCTCCCCCTTTCTTGCCTTCTCTGTATTTTCTATATAAAGAATACCCTGGTATTGCTACGTCACAGACATTTTTCTCATTATACCATGTCTCAGTAACAGTGACTAAAACTACTTTCTCAGTTGCCATTATTGCCACAAGTTCATGGATCTTATTCCCTAAACTGCAAGCATCTGTAGACTCTAACTCTATCATTTTTAACACACTTGCTACAGGCTAATGCTGTCCTTGGTTTGGGGGGGGCAACTAGATTAATGTTTTATCAGGTTTTATCCCCCCTCCCCCAGTTTAAGTACTTCCTAGCAAAACCTGTCAACTGCTCACTTAGAACATTTACTCCCTTTTGAGAAAGATGCAAACCATCTTTTTTTTACAGTTGACTTCTATTTCAAATAGAGCTAATATGAGAAAAAAGGCTAAATCCTTCCCGACACCATTCACTAGACAACAAGTTAAAGTCCCTAATATGCATCTGCCTAATATTTTGAATGTTATACACAGGCAGAACTTCAGAGAATGCGAAAGTGAAAATTCTCCTATGAGTGTACTGCAAAATAGATACATAATATTATCTTCTGTGTATAGTTTTCAGTACACTGATTGGCCCATTTTCACTTGCTTTTGGTTTGGCTGATACATTTTCTGAATCAGGTATTCGGTACCAAAATTCTGGTGAGCTGAGCTGATATATGGCAAAAATTCGTCAAACTAGAAATCATTTTCTATTTTCAGATAAAATGGTTTGGTCTAACTGAATTTTCTCACTGTGCAATTGCTTGCTAGAGGCCAGGCCAATTTTCAACAATTTGCTGTCATTTATTATAGAATTCTTAAATTGTGTACATTTTGCCATTATTTACTTAGCTACCTTAAGTGGGCATACAAATAATAAAAGTAAAAAAGTAATAAATGAAAAGAATTCTATAACATGGGAACAATCAGTCACTATCACTGTTCATTTACTTCCTTAGAAATACATGTGATTTATATATATATGTATATGTTCATATGACAATAGTGAATATAATCACTACTACACAGCATTCAATTCGTAGCTACAGGCCCAAGTCAGCTCTCTCACTAATCTCAGAGGTAAAACTTTAACCTTTGTACCTTTTGCAATTTGCTCTGAACTTCTAAACAGGATAACTCAGCTGGTTTTCCCCAGCTATATAAATTCAGGTCCAAAGGAAAAGGATCAGTCTCAGCCTGGGATATAAGAAGAGACAACAGCAGTGGAAGGAACGCAGGTGTTCCCAAGAGCTTTAACAGCTCATCATGGGCACTAGGAAGCTATTGCTCCTGGTGCTATTGACCAGCAGTTACACCATTGCCCGTAAGTAAAAAATATCATCCTATTTAGTTGGATAATACAAACGATACTTTTGAATTTTAGAATCTGTATCAAGCTTGTGCGAGTTATTAGAATCACACAAAAACACAGAGTTGGAAAATATTGTAGACAATATCATTGGAAAATGAATTCCATTGTTTTCTATATTGAAGTATTTTTCTGGAAAAATTAGATTTTAGTTGTTTTTTCTATTTTATTTTCATGAATAAATAAAAATCTTTACTATAAAAATTCAATAAATGCACATTGAGGTGACCAAAGTATATATTAAAATGTTTAAGCTATAAATGTGATCTTTGAAGATAAATATGTCACATTTTTTACTGTTGCCCTAAAATCAAAACAGAAAAAAACACACAAATATAAGAGACTATAAATAACTTATATGTGATGGAATGTGCCAGAGAGGAAACTAAGATCCAAAATTACTACTCAGAAAGTTAATATTTAGATTGTATTGTTTGATGGTAAATGGACTGTGGTCCTGTCTATTAAATCTTTGACCCCATACGTAGTGAATTTTTGCATAATTGTACAATATCCAATAATAAATGTATTTAGTTTATATCTAAACCTTTAATTGTGACACAATGCTACTGACATAGCAAGTTCTGTTTATTATTCATTATGTATTAGTCTGCGTGTGTCAGATGTGAATGTTTTGGTTAGTTAGCCATTAAGGACGAAACCTGTTATGTTATGTAAATAATGTTTTTAACTTAAAGGTTAATAAACTTTAACTTAAAATGTACCCATGTTCATATTTTAAACATAAACAGTATTAGAAATATAATTTACAAACAAAGACTTCGGTGGCATGAAGTATCCTAATCCCCCCGCCCCCCTTGCCCTTCAAAAAAAGTCAGTTGAGAAAAAACTAAAGCGACAAATTTTCAAGGTTGCTTAAATGTAATTTAATTCAACATTCTAAAAGCTATTTTTTTAATGTATATTGAGAGATATACTTACTTTAGCACAATAAAGTGTTTTTATTATTATTATTATTATTTTATTATTCATATAGCGCCAACAAATTCCGTAGCACTGTACAATGGGTGGACTAACAGACACATAATTGAGATCAGACCACTGACGTACAGGAACAGAGGGGGTTAAGGACCCTGCTCGATTTTTAGTAGCATAACCAATGGCTCAGACATTTTCATATGGACTATGAGTCTACGGCACTTATTGTGAAATAACGAAATTAAATGACTAACAATAACAGACGTCATTTCATGTATCAGTATTCATTTTAAAAAGCAGAAATTAGAGTTGGCTTTCCATTTCCATTTTCTCTATTGATAGGAACCAAAAAATGTTTCATGTATAATTGTTAATTAAAGCACCAGTACCTGACTATCTTAATATGGAGTTAAAGAGAAAATGTTAATTTATTGAAAGCGTACCTATGTACAAATATGTGAAATTTAGTTTTTTTCCTTTATTTGCAGAAGAAGATGGGCCAGATAACCAGAATCCAAGCTGTTTAAGTAAGAATACTGTCGTATTTCTCTCTGATTTTACAAAAATTTTACAATTGTGAATTGGATAAAAAATATACCATCTAAATTATTTTTTTAATGGGCTTATTTACTAATAACAGTGAATTACCTTCATTGAGCATATTTACATCTTCTTAGCATTACATGTTTAGTAATTTATAAGCACATCTCTAAACAAATTACATGGATTGGGTCAATAGTATGACCCATTTTCTACTTTTTAATCCCTACATTTTCTTATAACTAACTTATAACTAGCTGTTTAACCCCTTTAGCTCTGATGATCTATCATGACAGCCAAAATAATAAGGCGTTTAAATAATCATGTTCTACAACGGGTTAAAATACTGCTTCATATTTGCAGATACAGGGATTTATTCATTAAACAGCAACGCGTTGTGATTTAAAAAACAAATTGTTAAATTAGCCTAAAATAGGCTGTAACTATTGATGAGTTGGACAAACTTTTTCAGTGTGATTTTTAATACACTGCAATTTACTGGTTAGTGAATAAAATATACACTGCTATGAATAGTTTAATATTGAAACATTCAGCACAGACAAATAAGATCAGGTGTTTTTCCAATTGTGATTTTTTTTTTTTTCCTGGCGTGACCTATGTTACTTGTCTGCTGGTCAACATATACAGAGCTGACTTCATACCAGCCATATCAGTGTGGATAATAATTTATTACTGATAATCTCTGCTGAGATCATGCAATGTGTACTGTGTATTTAACCTTTGTATTGAAGGCTGGAGTGCATCCTGTTCACTGGAATTGACACATGATGTTCTCTTTAGAAAAGGGGTGGGAAAAGTAGTATGGTATAAACTGTTTTTTATATCACCCGTTGAACATGTTTTCTATTGTGGGTTTATACTGCCCTCTACAGTTATTCTAATATATTGCTACACAGTCTACAAACATACAAAATACTTGACAATGATGTATTGCTAATATAGAGACTCAGGTCCTCTAGCCATTGTGTTCTTTGGACTTTTTCCACTCTATAAACATATTACACAATAGATAACATAGCTGTTTTATTAGGCTGACACGTTGTCCAATATTCACAACCTTTAAACCAGGTAATACTGCACATATTTCTGTATTTATTGACCTGTTTTATTCTTCATAATCTCATTGAAACTTGTCATAAATATATTTACTTGCTACTTTCCAAAATCCATGCAAGATCAGGTATATATGCATATATATATATATATATATATATATATATATATATGTGGACATAATACCATGCTTTATTAAGCAAATTTCAGTACTTAGAAATCATATCATGTTCGACGTTTCAGCCCATCCGGACTTTTATCAAGACTCGGTGGTCTGAAATGTCGACATGATATGATTTGTTAACACTGAAATTTGTTTAATAAAACATGGTATTATATCCACAAAACAAGATTGCTGGAGATTGCACCGAGGCAAACACAAGACCGGGAGCAGTGAGTGCGGAGCCCAAGGCATTTTATATATATATAGCTGTCTGAAATTTTTATCAGGAGTTACTGAAACTTGCATGTTTTGTAAGTGCCCCTAAAAATATCAGTGGTAAGATGATTCTATTACAGACACATAGAATTTATAGATCACATTTACAACCCAAATAATTTAAATTAATATTAATCTGTATCACTAATATCAGAAATGTCTACCCTTAATGGCTACACCAACTGCTCTCCCAAACATGTCACATGTCCTGTATGTCGCTCCCTAGGAACAATTATTATTATTATGATATTTATAGACCGCCATCAAATTCCGCAGCGCTTTACAATGGGTAGACGAACAGACATGTAGTTATAACCAGACAAGTTGGACACACAGGAACAGAGGGGTTGAGGGCCCTGCTCAATAAACTTCCATGCTAGAGGGAGTGGGGTAAAATCACACAAAAAGGTAAGGATAGTATTAAACTAATGACAGTTGCAGAAGAGGAATCACTCAGGAGCTATTAACAGTTTAATTGATACGCTTTTATGAAGAAGTGGGTTTTTAACGATTTTTTGAAGTAGTGGAGACTGGGTGAGCATCTAACGGAGGAGGGAAGCGAGTTCCACAGGAACGGTGCAGCCCTCGAGAAATCTTGAAGGCGAGCATCAGAGGTGGGAGTACGGACAGAAGATAGACATAAGTCTTCAGCGGATCGTAAAGGCCTAGACGGGACATACTTGTGTATAAGGGAGGATAGATAGGTGGGAGCAGCATTATGTAGAGATTTGAATGCAAGAACCAGAATTTTAACTTGAGCTCTATATTTTATAGGAAGCCAATGTAGGGATTGACAGAAGGGTAAGGCAGGGAGGTGCGGGCGGACAGGAAGATGAACTTTGCAGCCACATTCATTATGGACTGTAACGGCGCTAGTTGGGAGCACGTAAGACCACTGAGAAGTGGATTACAGTAGTCAAGGCGAGAAAGGACAGTGGAATGGACCAACACCTTAGTCGCATCTGGCGTTAAGTAGGGGCGGATGTGCGCAATGTTTTTTAGATGGAAATGACAGGATTTGGCGATAGATTGAACATGAGGCTTGAAGGAGAGGTCGGAGTCAAAGAGAACACCTAGGCAGCGAGCCTGCATGGTGAAGCTGATGGTAGCACCGTTGACTTGGAGGGAGACAGACACAGGAGTAACAACACTTGAGGGAGGAAAGACCAGAATTTCAGTTTTGGTCAAGTTTAGTTTAAGGAAGTGGGCAGCCATCCAGTTAGTAACAGCAGAGAGGCAGTCAGAGACACTAGTCAAGAGGGACAGGGAGAGATCAGGAGAGGACAGGTAGATTTGTGTGTCATCTGCATAGAAATGATATTGGAAGCCAAAGGAGCTAATGAGTTTACCAAGGGAGGCTAGAAGCACATATGTCTTTTACAATCTTCATAGCCATTGTTCTGCTGTATTATTCTTTTATATGACGATGGCCAAAGAGGGAGAAATAAAGTCTGAGTTGTACTTCTGGAGGCCAAGATATAATGGTATGTCTGTTAGACCACTAGGCATAGTTTTGCATATGGGAGGTGTAGGACTTTTTGGACCCTGGTCTAAGTAAACATTAAAGCTGTAGAATATGCGATGCTGAATCGTACACAATTCATTAATGATATGCAGCAGAGCATATAGGAATCGTCAATTCAGCTCAATATAGTGAACATGATGAGATGGATTAACTGAAGGCCTCCAGTTTCCTTCTAGAACATACTCTTGTGTCAGATTGTAAGGCTTATATAGTAAATGAATTTGTAACTACACAAATGACATCAACATGTAACACCTTATAATATTTTCATTATATATATGTATTTGTACATTTTAGAAGATGGAACAAAATTCAGGCACCTTAGGAAATATGTATATAGTTATGAAGCTGGAACATCTACTGGAGTGACTGGCACAGCTGACTCACAGAGCGGTTCCAAATTCAACTGCAAGGTAAAAGTCTGAAGAAAACTAATCGATACAAAAATAAAACCAAAAATTTAATCTCAACTGTAAACTTATTGGGCACGTCTTGTCATACATTTTTTATTTAAATAACAGGTAGAATTGGAGGTTCCTCAGGCATGCAACTTCATTCTTCGTATCAAACAATGCACTCTGCGAGAAGTGTACGGAGTCAGTTCCGAGGGCAAAGTACTGATGAAGAAGTCCAAGAATTTAGAAGACTTCTCTAATGTTATGTCTAAGTAAGTAATGCCAATATTTGGTAATAGAGTACAAGGCAGTAGCATAATATCACTATGGAAGCTGAGACAAACCACCCGTTCAAAGCCATTGAGTTCAAGCATGATAGGATTCATTCAGAGCTGAAATAATATGCCTGTTATTGATTTTGTTACATAATTGGGCCAGTTTCCCATTGTACAATATTTCAGCAGAGTGAGAGGTCAGAGTAGGTTCCTCTCTATTATGATGATTAATTAGGGCTATTGGAGAAACGTTCCAGGGCTCCAAAGTAGATGATAGGATGTGGATGAAGAGTTTCTCAGAAGCACAGACTAGGTGTTACATATAAGGGTGTAAAAATGAAGACTTCCACATTCCTCTTTGCTATTTTACTTAGTGTTTTCTCTTTCTGTATGTGTTGTCTATGTTTTTATATTTACATAATTCTGTGTTAATAATAGGAATGAATTGAAATTCAGTGTCCTCGATGGTAAACGGGTAGTTTTATATCCACAAGCAGATGAACCTCTCAATGCCCTGAATATCAAGAGGGGTATTATTTCGTCACTCCTTGCTCCTGATGAGACACAGCAAACCTATGACATGGTAAGCTATATACATTATCTATCCTAGTATTAAACAGTTAGCTATAGACATAATGTATCCTAGAAATAACAGTAAACTATGGGCATAATGTATCCTAGTATTAGACAGTAAGCTATGGACATAAAATGTCCTAGTATTGAACAATAAGCTATAGACATAGTGTATCCTAGTATTAAACAGTAAGCTATAGACATAGAGTATCCAAGTATTAAACAGTAAGCTATAGACATAATATATCTGAGTTTAAATGGTAAGCTCTTAAAGTGTCAAAATATTTAATAAATTCAATCAAAAAATCAAGAAGAAATATATATTCTCTCTTCATTAAATTTTGTGCAATGAGGAATATACAATATAACTGTTATCTATTTCTACTAGTATGTACCAAATATGTAAAGAATTGACTATAGACAAACTAAGCTTTTCACAAACTTACATTAAATGCATGTATATTGTAGTATAATTATTTTCCTTTGTTTTGATTTGAAATCATGGCAGTGCAGTGGAAAATGTAAACTTTATCTTTATTGCTTTTAGGATACTGTGTATGGAAACTGTGCCAGTCAGATTACAGTCAACAGTGCAAAGTCATCATTAGCAACAGACTTTACAGTGGACAGAAATTTGAAGAACTGTGATCAGTTCAACCCCTCCAGGGATTATGTCAGTCCTATTGCACTCTTTAAAGGCATGGTAAGTAAAATTGGCCATACTTTCTGTCTAAAACCGCAATTATTTGATGTCTTTCCTCCCTCTCTCTAGCTTGTCTAGGGATAGGCAACCTTCCGCATTCCAGACATAGTGGCCTACATCTCCAATAATGCTCTTACAGCAATAATGCTCTTACAGCCATAATGCTGGCAAATCACCGGGGGAGGTTTAGTTCACAACATCTGGAATTTCTAAGATTGCCTACACCGAGCTAGTCAACAGCCTGCAAAGCATTATGGGTATCATAGTTTTGCAACTTTAAGAGCTGCCAGTTGGCTACCTCTTCCTTGGATGCCTTTTCCAAGTTTCTCAAAACTAATATGTCTAAAGTACTCATTCAATAATTTTTTTTTTACAGAATGCTCCATTGTCCACCCTGATCAAAAGCAGCCAGTCTTGTCAGTACTCTGTAGATCAGAAACGAAAGCTTATCACCTCAGTGTCCTGTGCTGAAAGCCATGTTTTCCTTCCCTTCTCACACAAGTAAGTTGTGAAAGCATAATACTGGAATCTGTCTGAATAAACAGCCATGATGAGAGACATAACGTGTAAAAAAGAAACTCTAGTTGAAGCGGATCTGTCATGGCCGCTCACGTTTTTTTGAGAGATGTCTCCTTACCCTTGACTATCCTAGTGCCCCCAATTAGTTTAACATCCCTGTTTTCATCATTATTTCTTCATTGCTTTCATTTCTTTATGGTGCCAGATCTCTTTCTTATGCACCTCCAACTTCTTAAGACTTGTAATGGACATGAGTCCTAGTATTCTTTTGCCCGTATTCCTCCCCGCAGGCAAGTTCCCACACATGCCCACAGGAGGCGCTCTGACATTATGACAGATGATCTTGATGGGAAAAAAATGTACTTGAGAAAGGAATTGGAGCTTACTTAAGCTTCACCCTCTGACCAAGATTTGTCAAGCATAGGAAAAATACATAAGGCAAAGTAGTCCCTACTACACTGTCTCGTGTTTTTAAATAGACATAGTTCAGAAATTAAGAGAAATTGAAAGATTGAAATTGTGAAAGAGGGAGCAAAGAGGAAAGGATTGGGGGAAGGTAAACGTAGGGGGATGCTTTAAGCTGAAAAAATAAATGTCAGTTTACAATAACAATATAGATGGGTTTTCCTATTTTATGTAATCATTAGTATTGAAATGTTGTAGGAAAGTTCTATAATAATGTTATTGCTATAATTAGCAATAATTAATTAATTAATTAATTAATTAAAATAGCAATTGTTTATTTACATCATAATACTTTTCTCGTTTTTTTTGTAATATAATGTAAATAGCTAGTACTTGACACATGTAAAACTTAAATACTTGATTATAATGTACATGTGATATTTATATCAGAGATTGCAATGTAAGAAGTTAAGTCTTAAATTCAAGGCACACTCCGCACACCTAAAGCACTTTAACTTGTTGTCATGCTTTATGTGTGAAGAATGTGTCTTTAGTTTAAGACTTAACTTGTCCTCTTTTTTTCATTTTACAAAAAGTGTATATTTCAATAGACATTAACACTTTTATAAATTAACTTTGTTACACTACCCTGGCTGTCAATCAGACAACCCATCCTGTTACCTCCTGGTTGTTTAGCTCAGTGGAGTTAAGCTCAAGAGGTAGACAACCAACCAGACACCACCAAAGAAACAAATTCATAAACATTTTTTCTATTGGTCATTTGAGCAATAATCTCCCTTTTCTTTTATTCAGAGATCAATATGGCATGATGGCAAAGGTCACACAGACACTAAGGCTGGATGAAACACCACAAAAGACCAACAACAGAGAATTTACAGCAGGTAACATAATAACATTAAACCTATTAAAATGAATTAATATGTTAGGATGAAGAACTGTTAATAAGCTTGATCATCTATGCCTTAGCATACTAAATTATCAAGATATATTGCTTTATTTAGTTTCTAAAAATGCTTTAAAACGATTGCTATGTGGCTACTATATCTTAATCAATGTTATGGGATCTCTGGTTAAAATATCACAATGATGTTTATATACTGAATAACAAATCGCAGTTAACCAAAATGTGAAATATTTATGTTAAAATAAATGTATTATTGTAACTTGTACTACTGTCTATACAGTTTATATGATCTATTTTGTTGTCTTGGATCAAAATTGGTCTATAACTGAGTGAGTTAGAGGAATGTTCCACATTAGCTGTTTTAGCGTAACTTTTAAAAATCCAGCTTCAGTTCACATCCGTTTGGTGTTTAGTAAATAAACCTCTGTGACATCTGACATTTTTCTGCTTAGTAACATGTATGACATGTTTTTATGTCTGACTGTCCGTTGATCTGTCTATCAATGAATCCGTTCGCACACGCATATGTACATCTGTCCATCCATCTGAAACGTGAAACATGATCTTAATTATAGTTTTTATATATATGTATACATATAGTTCCATCTCTGGCAAAGGGACTTGCATTGGAGGCTGAAAATTACAATGTTAAAACTGGGGAAGCTGTCTTGGAAAATCTTGCACAATTGCAGAAGTTGTCTACAACAGAACAGAATCAACAGAGAGCTGGCCTTTTTTACAAACTTGTGACTTCCTTGAGGAGTTTGAACAATGAAACCTTGGGTCCTCTTGTTCCAAAGATGACTGAACTGTCAAGGTAACTTACATGTTATTTTTTTTATTATTATACACAACAGTGCTAATGTAGAAAATATATTGTGGCAGAAAATGGAGTTTGATATGCCGGCCAGATAATTATTATAATATCCTTAAGTTGCGGTTTAAAAATAAAATAAAAATCTGGTTAACATCCATGCGCACAATGCAGAATTGATTCTAAGTTTTACATTGTAAATCAGAGTTTCAATTCCCAAAACTACCACTGGATGTCAGTATAACACCACATGCAAGAAAACTATTTTTATCCTATTATAATATGCAACACTATATTTGTAGCTGCAATCACATAAATGCCTATCCAATGTCTGTAGTAACAAACATTTAAATAAATAAAATATTTTTTTTTCTAAAGCTCTCTTTTTCTGTGTCTGCATTTTAGCCAATATAGCCCTCTATATACACCTTGACACAAAATGCATGATTAAAAAACCTTCATTAAAAAATACACCATACCATGTTCATGGCAGGTTAGTGTCTTTTGTGATTTTGTGATGTAGACTCACTCTCACAGCAGGTACTTTCACATCATAGTAACAGATGCATAAAGTCAATCAAACAAAATTACTTGCAAACTTTTTTTTTTATCTGTGGTAAAATGTTAGTGGTGTTTCTTTCGTATGTGAAAACTATGACTACTGACTCATTTATTAACCCCCTTCCAAATGAAATATTTTATCAAAGTTCAGTAGAATAATTATATTTCTCATGGAACTCCTTATTTTAACATTATAATATATTGCAGTTGAAGTTGTGATGAATTAAACAGCATCTTAAAACTGCCATTGATGTTACGTGTTGCTGTTTGTAAAATATATTTTATTCTATATTTTCTAAGTCTCTTGTTCTAATTTCAGCCCGATTACGCTACAAGCATTGACTCAATGCGGAACTCCAGAATGCTTTGGAGCAATTCTTCAAATTCTAAGAAGTGGGGATATGTCACCAGTATTAGTTGATGCGGTTACATACAGTCTTGGACTCCTACCTTCCCCGTGCACAAAACGAGTACGAGAACTTCTCAACATGGCCCAATATCGTTCAAGCAGAGCTTCATTTTATGCTTTAAGTCATGCTGTCAGCAAGTATGTATCATTAATTTAAAAGTTTTTTTAATTCAGATTCTTTATAAGCTTCATTCTCCCTCCTCTTTCTAGACCTCCTTCCCCCTTACGTCCTCAACAAGGAACCCAGTCTCTGATTTAGCTTAGTCTATTTGTTGTGTAGCTCCATTATTTTAATTCAAGGTGTTTTCTATTAACAAAAGGAAATTGTAGAAGTATATTTATGCAACATCACAAATATATGGAGTACTAAGTCACACGCTAATTTATTTTGCAACTCTAAGCAGAGCAAGATCTGATTGCCAGTGGCTTTTTGGTCAGTCTACTTAGCCATTAATCGTATGCTTTTGCTATGCAAGCTTCAAAAAATGTTTTTTGCCATAAAATGTGAATGTTTAATTCAATAATTATATGTACACAATTAAATGTAGAGCTGCCAGACTCTAATTGCGAAATTAAGACACATCCCTAAAAGTTAGTTCTTTGTTAAGAATTTTAAAACTCTTCTCGGTATAAGGCCAACAAGCTCTCTAATGGACTCCCGTTACTATTTATTCTATTTATTAAGCATGTGCTGTACCAAGATGTCCTAATCTAGAACTCTGTATGGAGAGAGAACATTATCATAAAAAACCCAACAACATATTAGCCATTGTTCCTGTGATAAATGTTCTATTCTGTATGATGTAGAAAATCACTATTTTAATAGTAAGGACCTAATTCTAAAATTGTCTACTTTGATGTTATAGTTTCTATGAAAACACAAACACAATCACACCAGAACTACAGGATGTTTCCAGTTTCATGGCATCGCTGATAGAAAATGAATGCACAGGCGATGAAGATAAGACATTCTTAAGTCTCAAGGTATAATCATCATTACACATTATGTGTGTACGAATAACTCTTGATGTCAAAAACATTAGTTTATAACTTCTTAATTGTTGTTAAATAATACCATGCCCATTTTCTACTCAGGCAATTGGAATTATGGGAACAGCTTTGGAAAATGCAAATACTCAAATAAAGTCTTCTCTTCTGAAATGTGTTCAGAGTCAGACAGCAAAACCTGACATTCAAAAGGCTGCAATCCAAGCACTTCGCAAAATGACCATTACAAGAGAGGTACGTTTCAACATGAAAACAAAAACCTGATCTTCTCATCTATACAGAGTAGGTAGCTGCCTACAGGCACTTATCTGATTGGGGTACCTGCTCTGTCAGTACAAATGTGCATTATTATCTCACTGCCCGCTGTTGGCACAGAATAGTAGATATAAAGCATGCTTTGAAAAAGGTGGGATGTGGTGGGAGATGATGGGATTTTCCATAATATTGGCCACTTTTGTAGTGCTGTTTTATTGCAGAAAGCATCCCTAGGTCATTTTTGCAGATGGTCCATGTTATGTTAGCACTTGGCAAGTTTTCCCAAAAATAAAAAAGTTTTAATGACATGTTGTATTGGGGCACCCAGGTCTCTGATAATATTTTTTTCCCAGGCACCTGAATAGCACTTAATGTAATGCATGCTGATGCTAAATTACATAATATTCATCTCTAGACAGAGAGCACACTATGAGAGAGAGAGGGGAGGGGGGTCAAAATTCATAGTAGGGTCTGAGGAGTCAATAACTTTTTTTTTAATTAACCAATATCATTGATATTACATGCAAGAAATGCTTTTAAATTCGCTCCATTTGCCACCTCTCAAAGTCAGGCTCTTTCGATTTCATTGTTCATAACATCAGTTAATGTTTGAGCCTCTAGCGATTGAATTTCTGCACAGATATTCTCATTGAGCTACTCAAGCATGCGCAGTTTATTCACATACACGTGCTCCATTAGATATCCCCACAGGAAGTAATCAGAAGCTGAAAGTTTCGCACAAATGTGGCGCCCAATAAATCTGGGAATTTCTTAAAATTATCCGCTAGCCGAACAGTTGTCCTAGTTTTAAAAATAAAATTCCACTATTCTTACTTTACGTTGTTCCTTTGTAAAATTGCCCATGATGAATCTCCCAAGACTCAGTTATAATATACACCTGCAACCAAAAAAAATGTAACTACTAACCAATAAGTTGTTTACCTGTCAAATCCTACTGTGAATTTTGAAAAAACTGTACATTGATTTCATAGATGTCGACATTTCAGCCACAGTTCTGGACTTTCCTCAGAATGCCCAAATGATTTTTTTCTAATCCAGACTAAGGAAGTAAAACTCTAAGCCATATCAGCATATCTCATGGCTAATTTTGAGAATTATGTCTCTCCACATGTGTCCTTCTTGTATGGAACTATTACCAATGCACACCAATGTACAGCATTGATTTACAAAGACAGTATCTTTTCTGAGCCTTCAGACCTGGTAGAGCTTCTATAGAATCTACTGTTAACATTCATAATGCAATTGAATTTGTTTGGAATTTATTTGTAAATGCTTGTGTTATTTCAGGTTCAGTCAATTCTTCTTCAAGTCTATCTAGATAAAGGTTCTACAGTGCAGAGGAGATTGGCAGCCTATCTCATGCTCATGAAAAACCCATCCGTGTCAGATCTAAAACAAATCCTTGATGGGATGAATGTTGAAGAAGAACAAGTGCGAAACTTTGTGGCTTCCCATGTTGTTAACATCTTGAACTCAGAGGCACCAGAAGTTCAAGAGTAAGCAGAGCGTATTATTATTATGTATTATTACCACTTGACATATAGAGAAAGTCCATAATGGTAAGGTAGTCAAATTACTGGTGTGGGTGGGAGGAGAGAATGATGTCAGAAGTTCAAAAGAAAAATATCGGTGGAAAAGAAAATATTATTATTATTATTATCATCATTTATATGGCGCCAACAGATTCCGTAGCACTTTACAATATTACGAGAGGGGGGATTTAACTATAAATAGGACAATTATAAGAGAACTTACAGGAACGATATGTTGAAGAGGGCCCTGCTCAAACGAGCTTACAGTCTATAGGAGGTGAGGTGTAATACAATAGGACAGGAAATAACAATCAATATTGAAGTGATGTGAGTTATGAGACGGTGATGGCTGGAGAGTTATCATCAATAATACAGTGGAAAAAACACTGAATAAAAAAAAAAGTCGGTTACAGAGATACTTATAGATGTTATTAGTCACTTAATCACTTAATGGTCTCAAGTTATTATAAAATTAACATTAGATTGTCCTAAAATCATACTTTATCATCCTAGCCCTAATCTGAAAATAAATTATGTCCCCTTGTGGCTGTGGGTCTCTGACTAGTCAATATCTCATCAAAAATGTAAATGACCTAGGGCTCTGGTTAATTTTGGGATCTAAAGGATTTACATAATTTTATTTTTAAATACACTACCGACAGAATGAAGCTGAGAAATCTGCTTAGCTTTCTTGTAACACATGGTGGAGATTTATGGACCTCAGTGGTTTGTTGTCCTATTGTTACATTATTTCCATCTATAATTAACTACTTTGTGTATGTTTTCTAATGTCTAAACTGGTCACTATGAAAAAAATGCTGGACATGGCGTGTTATTCTTGGAAATCAATACATAAACCTTAGTTGTTTTTTTTTACTTCCAAGTGCATCTCATTTTATGAGATATTTCAGTTTTCATGACATTGGCAATTGATTATTTGATAAGTGTTGAAATCTAGTTGTTTTAAATTTACACCCAATTTTAACTTTTAAGCAAACAAAACTCCCCACATAAATTTCTCTTTAAATACCTTTGTCTGCATTTGATTAAAGTGTTCTTTGCTTTGCAAACTAATATTGATAACAATTTCAGAACTTAATAGAACTGAGCTTAAGTCTAGATGCTACAAAACATCATAGTATACTAACAAATACATTTTGCTGTTTCTTATACAGGCTTAAACGTAAAATGGAAGAGGCTGTTCAGGAGCATGGCATACCCCCAGTTTTAAATGACTTTACAAGACTCTCAGGCAACTATCAGTTTTCAAAAAGCGTGCAAGTCCCAGGAACGGGTGCACCTATGGGTGTCAATGTAGGAGGAAACATAATTTTTGATAATGGTTACATGCCTAAGGAAGCCATGCTGGAGGCTACTCTAGGTGTTTTCGGGCAATCTGTTGATATGTTTGAGGTATGTAATACCTAATGAAACCCAATTCCAAGTTCTATTAAAACTAGAATTTATGTCGACATAATAAAAATCTTAAATGCATGCAATTTTAAGAATGTAGAACAGGTGGACATATTAACATACATCATCGAGTATAGTGACCCCCATAAAATGTATACATTTTGATTATCATTCCAGTAGGGTAGAGGTGGTGAGGTCTAACAATGACAAGGAAATGTAAAGTACCTTTGATGTAAAACTTCAAACTTAAAGTTTAAGGTGTCAGTTGAGGTGAGTTGACAATGGACTTGCAAAATAGTCACATTCAAAAAATATCACTGATTCAGCAGAATTGAAAATTATTTAAATTTTTATTTTGTTCTATATTTACAAGGTGGTGATTTACTATTTAGCAAATAAACCTATAAAAATAATTTCAGCATTTACACAAATTTCAAAGTCAGCTGACCAAAACTTAAATTGCAATGTTGGCTTTAGGGCACATTTGTGGGCAGAGATTGTGATGGATGAAAATTCATGATAATTCCTGCTAATATCAATATATTAAATAGGAAACAATTCAGCAGTTTCTTAGAATGATGATCAATACATTATTCACCTTTCTGAAGCTCAAATAGTGATTGTTAAGAACTATTGTTAAATAATTAAAGAAACAATGCAAATATCCTCCAAATACTTTTTTTGACAAATGATTATGATTTTAAACAAAACTCAATTAAAAAAAATTCTACTTGGTTTTAGTAATAAGTGCTGTTTTTTTTTTGCAAATGATGAGTAGAAAACTATTTTGTTTAGTGGTAGAAAAAGGTCAACCTATTGTATGAAAAGGGTAAATGCTTTTGCACAAGGAGTTTAAAGGATCACTATAGGGTCAGGAACACAAACATGTATTCCTGACCCTATAGTGAAAACCCACCATTTAGGTGGCTTGACTCCCCCTTTAGCCCCCTCAGAATGAGTTAAAACTCACCCTTTTATCAGCTCTCCACGGGTCTGCCGTTGTTGACCCCGCCCCCTTGGTGACATCATCAAAAGTGCAGATTTTTAGCCAATGGCTAAAATCGGCAAGGGACAGGGCCAGATACTGTTTTGGCCAATCAGCACCTCCTCGTAGAAATGCATTGAATCAATGCATCTCTATGAGGAAAATTCAGCATCTCCATGCAGAGCATGGGGACACTGAACGGCAGGGCTGCCAACTGTGCAGCACTGAGCCAGGAAGCCACTCATCTAAGGCGTGGCCCCTTGGAGGTGCCCTTAAGGGCAATGTGAACACTGCCTTTTCTCTGAAAAAGCAGTGTTTATATGAAAATGCCTGAAGGGAGCTATTATACTCACCAGAACAACTACATTAAGCTGTAGTTGTTCTGGTGACTATAGTGTCCCTTTAATTACTGTATGTTACATGAGCAAAAACATTTACCCTTTTCTTACAATTAGTTAATATTATTCATTCACTTAACAAAATATATCCATACACTGTAGGTACCCCACGCATTTCTACACACTGTATTAAAGGAAAGTTTGGTATTCGAACATCCCTGAATATGTGACTAGATAATTTTGTATCAGCTGTTAATGAATGTTTTGTAGTTTTGCCTTCTCCAAACATGTTGAATGAACAATATGGTATATTGCAAATATTCAAGTTGTACTTTTCCTAATTTCAAATTAAGCAATATCTTGCACAGTATATAAGTTATTCCATTTCTCATAAATCTTCACTGCCCATTTAATATTGGCCTACAAGTATTTCAAATAATTCCATTACTTTCATCTTTCAATATAGGTTGGTATTGATGGTAAAGGATTTGAACCAACTCTTGATGCCTTGTTTGGCAAGAAAGGATTTTTCCCTGATTCTGCCTTGAGGGCACTTTACTGGATAGATGGAAAAATCCCTGCTAAAGTAACTGATATGTTGTATGCTTGGTTTGATGTTCCCAGAGACAGCAAGCAAAGCCAGGTAAAGATGCCAACAATTTTAAGCTATACTATAACAAAAACATACTATGCTGTATACAACCTATGGAATTGGTGCCACATGATAAAAAAAAAAAAATTAATAACTTCTATTCCAATAATACGAATCCCATCTTAGTGTTGCATGCAACTTTTTCTTTCCCCTATTAGTATATTTCAAAAATATGCTTTAAAAAAACAACTTAAGCACGTGACAGTTTCTGCAACCTCGATTCGCAATTGGCCCACTTTAAAGAAAACCAGAATTACGATTATGTGTAAAATTTGAATTTTTAATAGATATGTTTTTTTTTTGTTTTTTGTTTTTGTTACAGGACTTCACAAAAGCTGTGCTACTCAATTTTGAAAAACTGGTGAATGAAATTAAATCTAGCGAGATGCCTGAAGCTAAAGCATATCTGGAAATCCTTGGTAAAGAACTGGGTTATATGAAGTTGGGTGACTTTAAAATCCTTGGGAACATGCTGTTGAAGAGTATACATGCATCACAGGAGTTGCCTGGACAGGTATTGTATATATGGCTATACGGGTATAGAACATCTAGGAATATATAGGCAGAAAATGAAAGTCAAGATATTGTCACTTACTGACGTGAATTTAAAGTGAATTTAACATTTAATGCCAAAATAGGTGAAATGGAGAAATTTTCCAAGTCAGCTTCAAGTTTGACTGTTTTGGCATTACATTTGAAATTCACAAGAATTCTCACTTTAGTAGATAACTCTTTCTGTAAATATCTTTCCTGGTTATTGCGTTCTAAGCATGTGAATATCATTGGGCAATAAATTGACTTATTGACATTTATCGTTTATGGTTTTATCTATGACCATTATAATAACATAAAGCGTTGTAGAATATAAGTGCATATAAGACCTGCAAATCAGAGGTTTACTTAACTGGTACATGGGCAATACCGTTTCTTGCTACACAACCGCATTCACATGTATCACCAAAATACACAACAATTATTAGAGAAAGAAAATGGTTTCCTTTGGTCTTAACAGCAAATTATCAGTGGGACAATATAAAAATAGAAGATAATGTTGCTGTATAAGACAGCAGACCTGGATTTTTCTTCTACCATATAATCAGGAATAATGATGCTTTCGATCGATGTATGCATTCATATAATAATAAATCTAGTAGAATTCAGCAATTCAATAAACATTGTTTCTCCGTTTAATTCTAGATTCTAAGAGCAATGTCAAAAGGTGCAGAAACAGATCTCTTCCTACACTACATTTTCATGGACAATGAGTTCGACCTACCTACAGGGTCAGGCCTTCAACTCAAAGTATCTTTAGCTGGCATAATTGCTCCTGGTGCAAAGGCTGGAATGAAGTTTGGCACAAAGAATGTAAGTACTATAACATACTACTGTGTTTATAACTGATGATAACCGATAGTAGAATGATGAATTATCTTTCTTTCTTTCTTTCTTTCTTTCTTTCTTTCTTTTCTCTTTCCTTCTTTCTTTCTTCCTTCCCAGTTTCACCTATCCCACTTGATTGTAATTTCTACTGCATTTAACAATGATATATTACTACTAATTATCTTTTTTTTAAAAACGCTGGATAATGTCATTAGAATAGAAATAGAAAATAAATATTCTATCATTCAATTTTTTTATTTCTATTCAGGTAAAAGCAGAACTATCCTTCAATCCAGCCGTTGCTGTGGAATTTGTTACCCAATTAGGAGTTCAGATGCCCGACTTTACTAGACATGCGGTACAAATGAATTCCAACCTTTACCACGAATCTGGGTTCAATGCTCGATTTTCTGTGAAAGAAGGTCAAATCAAGTTTTCCATCCCAGCACCTAAAGAGCCAACAAAGATCTTCAGCTTCAAGTATGAAAAAAATATGTTTCATTGAGCACTTATTGAATACAGAATAAGAATGGCAGGCAGGAATTCTTCTTGGTCACAATAAAATAATGTACAAAATTTTTTCTTTCATAGCAATAATCTTAACCTGGTTTTTCCATCGAAGACAGAGGTCATGACATCCATTACAGAAAACAGACAAGAACAGTCGTCGTGCAAGCCTTTGCTGTCGGGTCTAAAGTACTGTATTAATTCTGCATATTCTAATGCCAGTACAACAGATGCAGCTCCCTACTTCCCTCTCACTGGACAGACCAGGTACAGTAGATACGACTTCTATGCAAGATTATGTGAGTGTTACAATGTCGACATTAATACTATAGCATATTATAAAATGATACCAACTAATTTAAAATTTGCTTTTTATTATACATAAAAAATAAAACTAACCACTGAGTGATTTTTGTTTTCTTTAAGATTTGAGGTAGAAATTCAGCCAACTGGAGAGGTTGACGAGTATTCACTTACAGCCAACTATCAGCTGAAGAGGGAGGATCAAGACTTGGTCGATATTTTATCATTCTCAGCTCAAGCTGAAGGTAGATATTATTGTGTGCTTGCTAAAAATTGCTATTTTTCAAAATGTTTTGATTATTACTGCTCTATATGTGTTTTACTGTTTTCCCATAACTGTGCCATTTTTCAGGGGCAAAATCCTGTGAAGCATCATTGACCATGAGATACAACCGCAACAAAGTCATTTTCACAAGTGATGTGCAAATTCCAAATTCCGATATCAACTTTGGAGTCAGCATGAAAGCAGATGATAATTCAATAGGTTCAAGAAAATCATATTCCGTTACTCTAGATTTCCACAATCAACAGATTTCGGAAGCTACTCTAACTGGCCAGATAAGGTAATTAAATCATTCGGTATGCATCCTCTCTGACTAAGAGTGATTACATTTGTGCCATAACAAATGCATTTATGATACAATTTAGTAATATAGTGTTCTTACATGGACTTAATAATTAGCACCTAAAAAAAGCAAAGTAGAAAACAGAAGCAAAAAAATGCATGCTAAAGCTATGAAGAACTTTGCACACAAAAACAAGAGTTTATTGCACACACCAAAAAAGGGGGAACACTTCCTGCAGGGTGCTCAAGAAATGGAGGACCAATCCCTGAAGACATCAAATGGAAGAAAATAAATATTCAGGCACATCTCAGGCTTCTTCTAAAAGGCAATCATTCTTATTTGAAACAAGTGGAGACGACGTTTCTACTCCTCTCTGAGCCTTTATCAAATCTTATCTTACTTGCTAAAGTGTAAATTCATAGTGAATTTCAAATTTAAGACCAAAGTAGCTAAATTAGAAGCATAGCTGATTTTTTTCCAATTTGCCTATTTTAGCCCTAAATTTTAAATTCCCTTTGAATAAACTTTGAATTCTTGACATGCCTCAACCCTGTTTGAATTTCTAACAATTCACATTTTAATGGATAATCCTGTATATGTTAAAATAAATCAGATAACAGATTCTAAAAAATTGGTCTAATTTTCATAGGTATGATGGAGGGAGCGAAGCAGTATTGGGTGGTGTGCTTTCAGTCCCACGTTTACATACTGAAGCAAGAACAGAAGCCTCTCTTCAGAAATTGCCATATTTGTTCAAAATTCAGCTACAATCTACAGCCAATGTCTGTGCTTTTTCTGCATCAGAGAATATAGGATTTACCTATGGTAGGTCAATTTAAAATCTTTGCAGAATATACATAGATTAGATAGATAGATATAGATATAGATAGATAGATAGATAGATAGATAGATATAGATAGATAGATATATAGATTTTAATTATTTCATTTTTATCTTCTCACAATCACACTGTTTTTCCTGATAAATAACTGGATTCAGAATTACATACTTTTATTTCAACTTTTATTTCACTTTTCTCCTTTTCTTTTTTTTTTTTAGCTAATAACCTTTTTAAATTAATATATATATATATATATATATATATATATATATATATATATATTATTATTTTTTTTTACTAAATTCTAGCATATTTTGTTAGACAGGAAGTAAATCGACCTCTGTGGAGAACATGTTCATGTGGAACGCTGATATCCCATAGAATGTAGAGTTTAATAAATCATATTATTTGAAAGTGGAAACATCTGATTGGCAGCTGAAATAATTAAGCCACAGGGTCTTTTTTAGTCTCTATCATCGTATGATGTGTATGATATATGCACCGATTTAGACATTATACCATAGATAATATTTTTAAAATTACACAATTGCAAGGACCAAATATGAGTGATATTTAAATATAAATCTTGTTCACACAGTGATTTGATTTACTGATATACCAAAGTGAAGTCTATAGGGTTTATTTACTTAACTCTGAATAGTATGAATTGACAAAATGTTATGCCTTGGCTATGTTAGCCTTAATTTTGACATTCAGATTTCAACTTGTTGCAATTTAGAGTTTGGCAAAGAAAACCCTGAGGTGTCTTCAGTGGAATTTACATGTTCTAAAATATGATTTTTGATGTTTCATTGAAAATATACATTGCATATCTTTGTATTACAGTTGTGCATTATTTTTTTTTTCTTTTAGATGATGAAAAGATCGAACTAGAATGGAGTACCACTTCAAATTCTAATTTGAAGAAACTGGCTTCAAAACTGCCAGATATAAAATTTTCAGATCTGACCAATTATCCAGATTCCGTGAAGAACTATGCCAATGACGTCATGGATTACAAGGTGGCACAAACCGATATGACTCTCAGACACATTATGTCTCAATCAGTAGTGGTAAGTCTCATTTTGGACAATATTAAAACTCTCTGTGTTGAATGAAACAATCAGTAATCCTTCATAAATAAATGTATGATCTTTGTTTTATGCGTTTTCTTTTCCTAACATATCCTGTTTGTTTTCAGGCTACCAACAACTGGTTTCGGAAAGCATCAAAAGACATGCCGTATGCAACTATATTACGAGATAAGTTAAGAGCTTTTAAAGAGCTAGAATTTGGCCTTCCAGCGTTTCCAGAGGAGCTCTTTTTAAACAGGTATGTTAAGCACATTATCCATTTACATCGTCAGCTATTTAGAACAATGTTACAATTTTTATTTGATCAATTAACAATTGAAACAGTTCTATCACAGGATATATTTCACACAGAGCCTTTATTTTCTTTTTTGTTATAGTGATGGAAAAATTAAATATATGATAAACAAGGACAGTATCACCATTAATGTCCCATTACCCTATGGTGGTAAATCAAGCAGTCAGCTGATGAAGACAAGGAGTTTAACATTACCTTCAGTGAATCTGCCATCAGTGGGACTAAAATTGCCTACCCAAGAGTTTTCGATACCTGATTTTACCATTCCGGAGTTTTATGAAATGAATGTCCCCTTAATTGGAGTTTTGGAGCTGTCTTCTAACATAAGAAGCAACTACTATAACTGGTCTGCCTCGTATACAGGTGGAAACACATCAAGTGAGGCCATTACCTTCAGTTCTAAGTATGAAATGAGAGCTGACTCAGTCTTGGACTTTTTGTCATACACAATTGAAGGTATGTGACTACATATGCTTTATATTAAAAATAACATAAAGATTCAATGGAAAATTTTTCATAAAAATTTCTATTTCCTATGAAAACAACTTATCTCTTTTTTACTGAGTTTAATAATATGTTTAAGGATACAACTTAAGACGTTAATATATACAGTACATAGGAATTTAGAATTAAAACATATAACAAACTTGTTGCAACAAAATAGACTACGTAAAAAATAAGTATGCAATACCCTGTGTTGTTCTTAAACAGACATTTTCTACAGAAAATCATTCTTCTTAATACAAACCTATCCTTCAAGCAGCTACCAATATAAAAATTAGCAATTCCAAGTCAAACCAAATTCATTTATTGCCAATATTGCTTTATACTTAAAATATTCTTAAACATTCTCAATATTATAACTTAAAGAATCATTTTGGCCAATCATTGCACAATTATCCCAGGTTCCAAAGCTCTAAGTTAATCTGCATTTGGGGCAAGTGTGCAGTTTAATTTTATTATTTATGAATTGCCAGAAAACAGCTATTAAGTAAGTTTTGTACATTTTATTTACATCTGGTGATTTTCACATCTATAAGGTAAATTATTATCTTGTGCAGACCTTTATATAGACATTTATATTTTTTTGATGTGAAGTATGTGATTCCATTTGATATTTTTCGATACATTTTTAAAATTATTTAATATTTTGAAAATTTTTTTATATCTTAATATTTAGATTTTTTTTAATATATATATATTGCTTTTTTCCCATGCTATACTTTTGATATTTTAATATTTTGAACAAAATCATTTTAAAAGTGTATTCAAAAATATTACATCAAGGCCATGATATCCAATTTTGTAAGAGTACTACACTATACAAAATGAGAATATTTATGTGCTACAATTTATTCATGACCCTAAACATGATTTAGAAAAATAGGTACACTATGTGATTTTCTTTCTGTTAAATTTTATTTATTAGTGTAACAACCAATGTTGCCTTTAACAAAAAGTAAGGATGTATTTTTTTTATTGCATGTCCAAATAGTAATAACTACATGTATTTATTTTCTGTTTCATATGTCTGCAGGTACTGCAATATCATCATATGACCCTGAACAAATGTTGCTGCTTTCATATGATGGGTCTATACAGCACAGTCTCCTTGAGTCAAACCTTAAATTTAAAGAACTCTATAACTTCAGAAGTAATGAATTATTTAAAGGATCCTACTCTTATTATGTCAGAAGCATTCTAGGCATAGAATCATCCTTGAAATCATCAATGAAGTCAACTATGAATAATAAGATACTGACCACAGAAGGGGATGCTGTTGGGAAACATAACATTGCATCTTTGTTTCTCAATACTGATTACATAATAATCACTACTTTTGACACGGCAAACATGCAACTCAAAGTGGATTCTGATTTCAAGTTGGAGTCATCTTGCTTGAAGCTCACAAATAAAATAGTTGGCCTGGTCCTCCGTGAAGCTCTAACTATAACCTCAACTACTGATATGCAAGATGGTGCCCTCTCAAACATAATGACAATAGAATTTAGAAACAAGCAGCTATATTTTAAATCTGACACTAACGGAAATTATTACAACTTGGTCGCACTCAACAAATTTGAAGCTACATTTTCAAGTGAAAAGGCAGCAATCCGCTCTGAATACCAGGCAGATTACAGACGACACCGCTTCTACACTTTACTGTCAGGATCTCTGAATTCCTTTGGTCTTGAATTAAATGCTGATGTAACTCTAAATAATCTGGCAAAACGGGCTGCCCACAAAGCTACTCTGCAACTAAACAGAGATGGCTTGTCCACCAGTTCAACAACAAATGTAAATTTCAACCCTTTCACGTTGGAGAATCAGATGGATGCTGGAATTGGACCGAGTGGAACACTGATGAAGATGACAACAAATGGCAGATACCGTGAACATAACGCAAGAATAATGGTCGAAGGAAAGGCTGGCCTGACTGAGCTTTTCTTTGGTAGTCTTTATGAAGCCAATGTACTTGGTATGAATGGCAAGAACAACTTGAATTTTAAAATTAGCAAAGAAGGCCTGAAGTTCTCCAATAACTTAGTGGGATCGTATGAGCAAATGAAAATAGAAAACAGCAATGACCTTTCCATTCAAGGAACCTCATTACAATTTACTTCAAAATTTGAAGATTCTTGGAGCTCCACCAAATTCTACAAGCAAAGTTATGAATTGCAAATGCAGCCATATGCTTTGACAACTTTACTAAATAATGAGTTCAAGTATGATGCTCTGGAATTAACAAACAGAGGGCAGCTGCAATTGGAGGGATTTAAGGTGAATCTCAATGGGGATTTGCGAGGAGCCCTCAGCAAAGATGAGATTAAACACTCCTATACTATTTTAGTAAATGGCCTGTCCACAAAACTGAACACAGACACCATTGCAAATATCCAAGGAACAGCTCATACTCACCAAACCATTATGGAGATTGCTGGTCTCTCTGCAACATTTAGCAGCAACTCAAACTGTGAGACAAAGTCCACCCGTCTAACTAACAAGATTAACTTTGGCGTGAAGCCATTTAGCTTAACATTGGATTCTCAGACCAATGGAGATGGTAGAGTACAAGCCTTTGGGGAACATACTGGCCAGCTGTATAGTAAATTGCTCTTAAATGCAGAAGTTCTCTCATTTAACTTTGCTCATGATTTCAGGGGATCGACTAGGCATTTACTTGAAACAGGAAAAAAACATGAAACCTTGCTTGATTATCAAGTGAATGTATTATTTACTCCCTCGGAACAACTAAGCTCATGGAAACTAAAGAGTCACCTTGACAAAAACACAGTCACTCAAGGTTTCAAAGCATATAACAATCTTGATGGTATTGGTATTGAAATGAATGGGAATACGTTTGCAGATCTCTCCATACTGGATCGACAGATACAGTTGCCATTTGCTATTTTTAATCCTATTGATGTTCTAAATTTAAGAGACACAGTCAGTGATCCTCAAGAATTTGGTATTTCTGGCTATGTGAAGTATGATAAAAATAAAGAAATGCATGTCATCAACCTGCCATTTATTGAAAACATTTCAAGCTATTTTGAAGGACTTAGAAATGTATTACTAACAACTCTGCAGGCTTTACAGAACTCCCTGAAAGAAATAAATATTGACCAGCATATCAGAACATACAAAGCTACTTTAAGCAAAATTCCTCAAAAACTAAATGACTATGTTAATAGCTTTGACTTAGATGGAAAGGTTAAAGAGGCAAAAGAAAAAATACTTTTGATAACACAAGAATATAAAATCACAGCTGAGGAGCTTCAAACTGCAGTTGAAAATTATTTTATGTCATTGTACTACAATTTACAAAGCTACTTACAGGAAATTGAAAAAATGATTCGAGAAAACTATGACCTCAACAAATTCAATGAAGCTGTTCAAAAGTTGATTCAGAAATTTTTTGAAAGTCTCAAATCATTAGACCAGGAATACAGAATTCGTGAGAAGATAGTTGGAATGATACAGGACCTTCGAAGAAGCATTGAGGAGATTGATATCAAAGACTTAGCTCAAAGTCTCCAATCGTGGATTCAGAATATTGATGACATGTATCAAATCAAAGTTAACATTCAGAAAGTACTACAACAAATCCAGACTCAGGTTCACAGAATTGATTTAGAACAAATGGCAGCCAACGTGAAACAGTCATTGCAATCTCTTGACTTAAGGCAATATGCAGCAGAAATCAGAAAAGCATTTCCCATTGAAAATGTCAGATATGTAATTGAACAAATGAAAAATATTGTCATCACAATGCTAGAGGAATATGAAGTAAGTGAGAAAATCAATGCCGTTGTTGACATGCTTCAGGACGCTGTGAGAGATTATGATTTGGACAAGAAAGTTCACATAGTCATAGAACAGTTTCTCAAATTCTTTAACCAGCAGAGTGTAAGAGAGACAATAAAAAAGGTAACAGACATGTTAAATTCCATTGACCTAAAATCATATTTCACCAAAATACTTGCTTTTGTTGATGAAACAGTTGAGAAAGTAAAAGGTTATGACTACAAAAAGCTTATCGAGGACATCAACTACTACCTTGACACCGTTGTTAAAAAGCTGAAATCATTCAATTATGAGAAATGTGTAGATGATTTCAATGGCTGGATTAGAGAAATAACTCAAACAGTAAATGAGAAAATGAATGCCCTGGAACTTCCACAAAAAGCAGAAGCCCTTCAACAGTACTTAAATGAGGTCAGAAAAATTGCAGCAGAGTATATCCGTGAATTCGGAAACATCAAACTATCAGAATTTTTTAAGAGGTACCAGGATATCTTCAGTTTGACTGTTTTAAATGATTTAAAAATTAGACTACTGGAAAACCTTGAAGATGCCAGAGATAGAATTTATTCTATGGACATACAGAAGGAATGTCAAAATTATTTGCAACAAGCAAGCCAAGCTTATTGGCGATTAGTGACCTACATTTCGCAACAATGGAATAATGCTGCTGTGATGATTACCAACTTTGCAGAAGAAAACAATATTAAAGATTGGGCTGAAAGTATGAAAAGGTTTATAGAAGAGGGTTTTGTCATGCCTGAAATTAAAATAGGATTCATCAGTTTTCCTTCCTTTGAAGTGAGTCTCCGTGCCCTCAAAGTAGCAACTTTTAAGACACCGTATTTCACTGTCCCATTCACTGATTTGCAAATTCAATCTATGGAGATCAATTTCAGACGTTTACAAGAAACAGAAATTCCTACAAGATTTGTTACGCCTGAGTTTACCATTTTCAACACTTACAAGGTACCTTCATATGTCATCGATTTGAATGAAATCAAATTAAAAATTGTAAGGACATTTGATCAAATACTTTCAAGTGACTTTGAATGGCCATCTCCAGAAGTATATTTAAGTAATCTACGAATGAGTGAACTAACAATGAGAGACTTGGGAATCCCTACATTTTCCTTCCCAGAAATCCATTTTCCTGCTATGCAAATCCCAGAAATGCAAATCCCAAAGTTAGCAATGTTTAACATCCAGCTTTCTATACCTGAATTCCAGCTCCCACAAATCCCTCACTCAGTATCTGTTCCTACATTTGGGAAACTTTACAGTTCATTCAAAGTTATATCACCATTTTTTACAATGGCAACTTCTGCTGAATTGACAAATAGCACAACTGAAAAAACCCCTGAAATGGTTGGAACTTTCTCTGCAGAAACAACATCTATGATCGAAGCTCTGGCTTTTGTGCTAAAGGCAGATGCTCGGTTATCTGCTCCTCTCTTGGAACAATTGATTCTTAAAGAGTCTATGCTGCTATCCAATAAGTATATTAGTTACGATCACAACGGTGAAACAGTTTTTACTGGAAACCAAATTCAGTCTAAAATAGTGACGAAGGCCAATTTAAGAACAGAAAAGAGTTTCGCAGAATTCCAAAATGACATTGTATTCAAGGTACAGAAAAAGATCACAGCTGACATCACGACTAAATATTCTCACCGTCTGAATATCCCCCAGTTACAGCTTACAAGCCAGGTGGATCTCCTGAATGACATTGACTCATCAGTAGAAGCCGGGCGAATTTTGCTCACTTCTACTGGAAAAGGAAACTGGAAATGGGCAAGCCCTGCTTTTAGAGATGAAGGAACACATCAATCAGACTTTAAGTTCAACTTAAGAGGGCCTCTTATGGAGATTTCCGGTACAAATAGAATCAATGACAATAATATAAAACTTGACCAGAGTCTGAAATATGAGTCAGGCTTCTTAAGCTATGCAAACCTTGATATCTCATCAAAAGCAGAAGTCCCTTACATTGGGAATAGTATTGTAGCAGTAAAAGGAAAAGGACAGGTTAGTGAAATGAAATTGGAACTCACGGCAACACACAATGCAGAACTAACTGGGTTTGCAACTGGAACAATAAGCAACAGTCTAGCCTTTTTGACAAAGCCATTTGAAATAAGTCTAGCAACTAATAACAACGGAAATCTAAAGGTTAGCTTCCCTCTGAAGTTGACTGGAAAAATTGATTTCTTGAACAATTATGAATTTGTACTTAACACAAATGTTCAGCAAATATCTTGGCAAGTCAATGGCAGGTTTAACCAGTATAAAATCTTATACACTGTCTCAGCGGGCAACAATGAAGAGAAAATTGGTGCTTCAGTAGAAATGAATGGGGAAGCAAATCTTGATTTCTTGACAATTCCAATTACTATTCCAGAAATACCTGTTCCATACACCACAATGAGAACGCCTAAAATTACTGAGTTCTCCCTGTGGGAAAGAACTGGTCTGAAGAACTTACTAACAACAACCAAACAAAATTTTGATTTAAATGTGAAACTCCAGTACAAGAAGAACAAAGATATGCATTCCATTCCACTGCCTCTGGGTGCGATCTATGATTCCATAAATGCCAATCTGATCACAGTCAATTCTAAATTTGAAAATCTGCGGGATTCTTCAGTGAGAGTTTTAACAAATTCATATAACAAAGCAAAAGCACAATTTGACAAATACAAAGTACAAACCCTAGCAAATAAAATCCCTCGCACCTTCACAATACCTGGTTATACCATCCCACTGTTGAACATTGAGGTCTCCTCTATTAGTGCTGAGCTCCCTGCATTTGGTTATGTGATTCCGAAAGAAATCAGGACACCAAGCTTAACCCTGCCACTGGTTGGATTTTCTATTCCAACCTATACAGTAGTTATACCTTCACTTGAACTAGCTGTACTTCATGTTCCTGATGCCTTACGCAAAATAACTCTACCTAAACTGAAATTGCCCAAAATGAAAGACAGCATTTCGATTCCTGCTATGGGAGATCTCACATATGATTTCTCATTCAAGTCAAATGTGATATCATTAACAACAAACGCAGGTCTGTACAATCAATCTGATATCTCTGCTCGTATCAGTGTGGTTTCCACATCTGTTATCGATTCACTACAGTTTAGCCTAGATGGAACAACAGGACTAACAAGAAAACGTGGAATGAAACTAGCCACTGCTTTAGCACTAAAAACTGTGTTCATGGAAGGAAAACATGAAAGCTCTATGTCTCTTGGAAGGAGAAATATTGAAGCTTCTGTCCTAACAAATGGCAAAATAAGCATACCCATTTTGCAGCTCACTGTTAAACACGAATTGACTGGTAACACAAAGACCAAACCTACAGTTTCATCTAAGATGACCATGAACTATGATTTTAGTGAATCAGCATATGGGAATAGTGCAAGAGGATCACTTGATCATACGCTAAGCATTGAAGGTCTGTCTTCTTATTTCTCTTTGGAGACATTAACAAAAGGAGATGTTACTGGAACCATGTTGGATCTACCATTTAATGGACAAGTTAACAATGAAGCAAACATCTATTTGAATTCAAATGGGTTTAGGTCATCTGTAAAAATCATGGGTAATACTATAGCAGGTGATTTTATAACATTGGAACTTTCTGAAAATCTTGGTGTTGAAGCATCCACAAGTCGCATTTATACAGTGTGGGAACATACTGGGAAAAATCATTTAGGACACCTACCAGGTTTTTACACAAGAGGAGAGCAAAATGTTAAGGCTAAGATTGACCTGGCTTTCTGGAGCTTGCTGTCAAGTCTCCAGATGCAAATCAGCCAACCAAGCTCATTATTTGATGCTGCATCACTAAATCAAGCTATCACATTAAATCTCTATCCTGAGAAACAAGAATTCGATATTAATGGACAAGGTATTCTGAACACTCTTGTTTTAGCTCATAACGGAAAATTGTCTAATGATGCAGCTGATGCAAAATTTGAGATCACTGGCTCAATGCAAGGACATGTATCTTTCCTCAAAGGAGTCATCCTTCCAGTCTATGATAAAAGCTTGTGGGACATCTTGAAGTTTGACCTTACAACAAGTGCTGATAAAAAACAATTCCTCACTGCATCTACCTCTATAACTTATACAAAAAACAAAGAAGGCTTCTTCTTCCCCCTTCCAATTAACAAACTTTCAGATGGATTTGTCATTACTTTTCCAGCACTAACTCTTAAATCACCAGAATGGGTTAAAGATCTTCCCAAAACAATGAGCAATATGCAAGTTCCAGATATGCCAGCAGAGTTAAACATTCCATCATTTCACGTCCCATTTACAAACCTAAATGTTCCATCATATAAATTTGACTTCCGCAATATAAAGATTCACAAACAATTGAGTACATTGCCTTTTGACCTTTCCTTGCCTTCCTTGCCAAAAGTAAAATTCCCCAAAGTTGACATCAATACCAAATATATTACCATGGAAGAGTACAAAATACCATTCTTTGAGGTAACTATACCACAATATCAGATAACATTGGCAAGGTATACTCTACCAAAAAGCTTCTATGGTCTGGACTTTAACAGCATGGCCAACAAAATTGCAGAAATTGATCTACCAACAATAGAAATCCCAGAGCAGAACATAGAGTTTCCACCAGTTAAGATGAATCTTCCAGCTGGGCTTTTCATTCCAGCTTTTGGAGCTCTGTCTGGATCAGTCCAACTTTCCTCACCTATATACAATTTAACATGGACAACAAAGTTGGCAAACAACTCTGAAGGTCTTGTTGCTTCCATTGATGCCACAAGCAGTTCTACACTTCAGTTCCTGGAATTTGATCTTGACGGTTAGTTTGAGCAATTTCTATTTGATGATAGATGAATTACAATTATCATTTCATTATTGATATTTTTTGTAATAGAAACATAGAATGTGATGGCAGATAAGAACCATTCGCCCATCTAGTCTGTCCAATTTTTAAAATACTTTTATTAGTCCCTGGCCTTAACATATAGTTAGGATAGCCTTATGCATATTCCACGCATGCTTAAACTCCTTTACTGTGTTAACCTCTACCACTTCAGCTGGAACGCTATTCCATGCATCCACTACCCTCTCAGTAAAGTCATACTTCCTGATATTATTTTTAAACCTTTGCCCCTCTTATTTAAGACTAAGTCCTCTTGTTGTGGTAGTTTTTCTTCTTTTAAATATAGTCTCTTCCTTTACTGTGTTGATTCCCTTTATGGATTTAAATGTTTCTATCATGTCTCTGTCTCGTCTTTCCTCCAAGCTATACATGTTAAGATCCTTTAACCTTTCCTGGTAAGTTTTATCCTGCAATCCATGAACCAGTTTAGTAACCCTTCTCTGAACTCTCTCTAAAGTATCAATATCCTTATGAAGATATTGTCTCCAGTAGTGCGTACAATACTCCAAGTGAGGTCTCACCAGTGTTATGTTCAATGGCATGAGCACTTCCCTCTTTCTACTGCTAATATGTCTCCCTATACAACCAAGCATTCTGCTAGCATTTCCTGCTGCTCTATTACATTGTCTGCCTACCTTTAAGCCATCAGAAATAATCACCCCTAAATCCCTTTCCTCAGATGTTGAGGTTAGGACTCTATCAAATAATCTGTACTCTGCCCTTTTTTTTTATGTCCAAGATGCATTATCTTGCACTTATCCACATTAAATGTCAGTTGCCACAACTCTGACCATTTTTCTAGTTTACCTAAATCATTTGCCATTTGGCTTATCCCTCCGGGAACATCAACCCTGTTACATATCTTAGTATCATCAGCAAAAAGACATACCTTACCATCAAGACCTTCTGCAATATCACTAATAAAAATATTAAAGAGAATGGGTCCAAATAGACAAACAGACAGACAGATATACTAATGGGTAATAAAAAGAGTACTATAGTTTTGAAAATTTAGAATTCTGGCTCAAAATGTTTAATTATATATTTATATAAGTATTCCATCATAACAATACAATTAAAATTGTTCCCAAAATGCAATATAATTATTATAAATCTGATTTAAAAGTTTTGAAAAATCCTTTAACCCTCTTTTTTTGCAGCCTCTGCCACCAGTTCATTAACAGGGAGTGCCATCAACTACAATGGGAAGGGATCCTTAGCACACCCAGACTTAAGTATTGATTGGCAGCAAGATATTTCTTTCAATGGACCATGGTAAGTTCAGGCACAGCAAGCCATAATTTGCTTTTCATGCTTAGCTCTCACTCTAAAAAAACCTCTTACTAATTGTGTTAATGAAGTTAACTCCTTTTAAACAAAAAATACTGTTTTATGGGTTGAACAAAAAAAACTATTTTACCTATACATACCGAAGATTGGACTTTATTTTAAGATGAATTGTGATTTTATTAATACATATATATAATACATATATATATGTATATATATATATATATATATATATATATATATATATATATATATATATATATATATATATATATAAATACATACACATGAAAATAGGTAGCACTCCAAGGAATTAGACAAAAAGGCAGTATACATAATACATAGCTTTTTTTTTATTATCTATTTTTGACTCATGTCATAGTCTCAATAAAAACGTTACAGAGGAAAACCAACTTATGCATGTCGATAAACACATACGGTAGAGCATAACAGATAGGGTGTCTAGTATGGATTGGCATTGGACCAGAAGCTGAGGGAATTTAGGTTTGGGTAGTGGGAGACAGCGCTTATTCTTAAGCCTAGTGTGCCTAGGGGTAAGGCCTTATGGCCGAAGGATCTAGTGTTGCAAAAGGCATTTAGGCTGAGTGAGTTTATAATACAATAATAATTCTATGGTTCAGTTTGCCTAACTGGGTTATATGAGGAGCCTGTTCTCAACAGTGTGGGCATGTTGTCGTTGCACTCTTGTGTTATACTTTTACCCCATAACCCCAGGGAAGGCGGGGAGGGGGGAGAAGGGGAACGTTTTGGCAGTGTAATTAACCTGAACATTGGAGAGAGAGGAGTCCTGATCGCCATAAATGGCATGCCCTTGTGTAACAAGAGGGCTGTAAAGAGGTAAGCAGTAGTCCCTGGATTCTTCAGGTCATAATCGCTGTGGAGGCTCCCACTCCAGCTCATTGGGGTGTCCCCTTTGTAGGGTCACTTGTTGGTGGGTGTGCCGCTGGGTGGTTTGCTTCAGAGTTGACAGAGAGTCCTGTTGTAGCCCCAGGGTTGGCAGGAGATCCATGGCACCCTGCATATCATGGATCTTGAATGATGTGTAGCCGTGCTGAATTAAAAGTGCCCGGGGTCGCCTCCATTGGTATGTAATTTTGTGCAGGTGAAGGAGAGCCATGAAGCGCTTCATCGTGCGGTGCCAGGCCAGGGTCGCCCCAGATAAATCAGCATAGAGTGAGAGCTGCCTACACATATGGCATTTGGGTTTTCGTCTCTTGAAGGACTGCAGATCTGTCTCCGTGGCTCAGGAAGCACACCAGGAGGTCTTTTTAGCTGGTCGTGGGAGGTGGAACATCTCCCTCAGGCCTGTTTGTTTGGCCTGTGTAGGGGGTTGGAGAGCGGACAGCAGGTGCTGGATGAAGTGCAGTACCCCCTCCGGTATTTCCTCACCGATGCCCCTGATCTTGAGGTTCAGGCTTTGCCTTTTATCCTCCACGTCTAAGAACCGCTGTGAGTCTGCTGTTGCAAGTCATGTACTGCTTTTTGTAGCTGCGTCGTGTAATATTTAGTTATTTTGCTTTTAATAGTACATCTTAAAAAGTTTTTTTGTACTGGTCCTGATGAAAGTTCCATCAAGTTCTGTTGGAACTGAAACCTCAACACCTTTCTAATATGTACTATTAAAAGCTAAGTATTATTTTTACTACCTTTTTGTCTAAGTTCTTGGGGTGCTGCCTATCTCCATGCATTTTTGCATTTTCTTGTGAGGCTAAGCACCAGGCATTAACCATTATACTAGGAGTGCAAGCTTTTTACCAATCAGCATGGGTAAAATTGCTTTATAATCAGATAGTCCACAGGTATAATTATGTGATTTTTCTATTTACTCTGAAAATGAAAGCAAAATGGTCATATTTTAATTTAATTAACATTTATGTATTATTTCTTAACCTAGGTTCCCTGTTCATAACATAGCAATAGATGTAAGAAGCCCAACATTCACAAATGTCCAGATACGTTGTCAACGTGAAAACAACAGGCTTTCTTCATCAATTAATGTTCCATCTGCTGGGACTTTGGGACTTCTGGTAGAAAAGGATGACACAACAATCAAAGGAAAGCTGTACAGTCGACCTGTGGTAAGTAACTTTAGAGACATATTACATCAGTGGCTACACAGACAGTAAGATTCTTGATTTCTTCTTTGTCTTCGATGACGTAAAATAAATTCTGGACAGAAGTGAATGTTATGCTCAGGGGATGAAATTATATGGCTTTGTGATCAGAAATGCAACAATAATGCAACAATAATGCCTAAGTGAAAAAGTTTAATCACATGACTCATAGGAGTTCCAAAATACAAAAAATATAAAATAAATAGCAATCACCAAGAAAAGTCCAGCCACACATAGTCCAATACTGCATTGGTCAGCACCGTTGGCTGTAAGAAATGGTTCATAACAAAAAGAGCAAAATTTCAATAGGGATAGCTCTCCTGCACTTTTGCTCTTCTCCCACTTCACTGACCAAAATGTCCTCATCACTTGTTTAAAACCAGATTTTTGACCTCCATATCCTTAGACATTTTATACTAGTAGGTCATTATCTGGTATCGCGCTACTGTACCAATACAGGCTTCAATTTAATATAGTTGGATAAGCTTTCTAAATAATTTAATATTTTTGGGTACATTTTTAAAATGATTTAATATTATGGAAAAAAAATGTGTAATATTCCTATATTTTTTGTAAATTAATATTTATTTTATATATGATATATTTACAGATATTAAATTAAGGCCATAGTTTCATATTCTGTCTAACTATACTCTTTAAAGGAACTGAAAACTAATATTTTAACACATCTTTTTGTGATTTGTGATGTCTATAGGTCCTGTGATTCTTTTCATTCACCATGTTTTGTCTGTGGTATTTTAACTGTTTCTTTTGTTTGCAGGCCCGGACTGGCCATCGGGCACACCGGGCAAATGCCCGGTGGGCCGCGGTGGCCGTGGGGCCGAGGCCGGCAGGGGAGGTCCCAGGATCTCCCCTGCCGGTCTATGCAGGGCCGGCACTATCCGAGCGCCGGCCCCGCTGTCTTCCATGGAGGGCCGATGGGGAGATCGAAGATCTCCCTCACCGGCCCATTTAAACAGACCTGTGGCTGGGGAGGGAGGGAGAGGACCCGGCGGAGCTCTATCTTGCAGCTCCGCCGGGTTCATCTCGCGAGATCGGGAGCGTTGCCAGGGCAACACCCCGATCTCGCGAGAGTGTTCACTCACCACTGGACCGCCAGGGATCGTGTACGAGTGCCTGTGCCCCCCCCCATCCCAGCTACCACGGGCCTGCCCCCCCCAGGCTAAAGGTAAGAAGGGAGGGGGGGATTTAGTTGTTTTTTTTTTGCTTAGTTTTTTTATTGTTTATTTTTTTGTTTATTTTTTTTTTATTGTTTATTTCCCCCACTTAATTTTTTATTTATTTACCCCCAACACACAACATTTATACACAACACTCTCACACACTTCACACACATCATACACAGCACTCTCACACCCAGCACTCAGCACTCACACACATCATACACAGCACTATCACACCCAGCACTCAGCACTCACACACATCATACACAGCACTCTCACACCCAGCACTCAGCACTCACACACATCATACACAGCACTATCACACCCAGCACTCAGCACTCTCACACACATCACACTCAGCACTCACACACATCATACACAGCACTATCACACTCAGCACTCACACACATCATACACAGCACTATCACACTCAGCACTCACACACATCATACACAGCACTATCACACTCAGCACTCACACACATCACACACAACACTCACATACATCATACACAGCACTATCACACTCAACACTCACACACATCATACACAGCACTATCACACATCAGCACTCACACACATCATACACAGCACTATCACACTCAACACTCACACACATCATACACAGCACTATCACACTCAGCACTCACACACATCACACACAACACTCACATACATCATACACAGCACTATCACACTCAACACTCACACACATCATACACAGCACTATCACACTCAGCACTCACACACATCATACACAGCACTATCACACTCAGCATTCACACACATCATACACAGCACTATCACACTCAGCACTCACACACATCACACACAACACTCACACACATCATACACAGCACTATCACACTCAACACTCGCACACATCATACACAGCACTATCACACTCAGCACTCACACACATCACACACAACACTCTCACACACATCATACACAGCACCCACACTCACAGCACCCTCACACAAATCAATCACATACAGCACCCTCACACACACAGCACACACATCACACCTCACACACAGCATCCATCACACACACATACTGCACCCCACACATACACACACAGCCCCCTGATACACTGCATCACACACATACACAATACTTCCAAACATATTTATATAAACTATATATATATATATATATATATATACACATACACACAACACCCCTCACACACACACAGCACCCCTCACACACACACTGCACCCCTAAACACATTACATTCCAGACACACACTAGATCCTTTAGCCAACTCTGGATCATATACACACATACACACACTAGATCACTATATACACTCTGAATCCGTTATATACGCACGCTCACTATATCTCCTATACATAGTCTGGGTCCTTCAAACACACATAAGACTCATATATATATATATATATATATATACATACACACACTCTGGATCCCCTATATGCACACTAGATTCCTTGTAAGCAAACACATACTACATTCCCTGAACACACACTCTCTACAAACACTACATCACCTATACACACACACACACACACTATAGCCTATATGCACACACTTGCTATATCCCCTATACACACATTCTCTACAGCCCCTAGCCACATATGCATTACATTACACCACAAACACAACACGACTAAAACCGACCTTATTACACAATACCACACCACGACCAGCTCACTCTGCACACACGCAATACCCCAAGCAGGCTCCAAACACATGTACAATACTCTTTCCTGGCCCTTTTGTCTCCTGGTATCCATTTATAGAGACACCAGAGACAAGTTGCAAGGAAACACAGTGCAAGCATGTTATTAAATTTGCTTGCACTGTGCAGAACAAATACAGGGCTTTTTTCTCATGCCAGAACTCTTCAGTAGAGCTCTGCGCATGGTCTGCCCTGGAAGAGCATTGAACCAACATGCTCACTTTGAGAGGGGGTGTGTTTGTCATGAGTGATGACAAAACACACCCTCTCTGCCCCGCCCCCTTCTTAGTGGGCCGCTGTGATAAAAAAATGCCCGGGCCGAATTTTTTTCCCAGTCCGGCCCTGTTTGTTTGTTACCCTACAGATATGGTAGCTTTTAACTTTATTTATCTGTTGACTAATCATTTTTATAACCTTAAATTGTTGTGTAGTGCGTTACAAAATCTTTTGGTGAACACTCTGTCAGTATTGTTCACAGTTAAAACTATTTTACTAGAATAAGATTACTATGTATGTAATAGTATATATATATTAGAGTATCTCAAATACTTTATTAGGAATCAGGTGCTGAAGTTTCATTCTCTACCTTGTACCTGAATATGTGGATAGTTGTAACAAATAAATGTTGATGCTATTACATGTAGTCCTCATTTTACGACTTACCTGTTTAACGCTGACTCCGATTTACGACCAGCTCTCTAGCAAGGGCATTCAAGGAATCCCCCACGTTAGAGACCTGGTCTAATTTTCCCTGAACATAGACAAGTGCACCCAAGCAGGGAATCCCTCAAATCTATATTCAGGAAATTTTCCCGAACATAGACCTGCACTGGTGTGCATGCTCTGTAGCACATCCTCACTTACCGACCAATTCGTTTTACGACTGAGTCATAAATACGGAGCCCGGTCGGTAAGTGAGGAGAGTATATATTTTGTCTGTCTATATGTGTGTTAATATATTTGTCTGTCTGTCTATATATCTATTATCTTTATGACTATGATTTTTTGAATATATATATATATATATATATTATAAGTTTTAATTAATTAATTTATTTTAATGCTCCATTTCATATATTAATAGTTTTCTTTTTTTTATAATTATTTTATAGTCCTCTACTGGAAAAGATACATTAATAATGAAGGGAGAAATGTCAATAAAAAACCCAGAAAAAATCCAGAACAAGATTAATTGGAAAGAAGATGCTGTAGCAGATTTACTTAATGGCTTGAAGGAACGATTGCCAAAAATGTCTGATTCTGTTTACAACTGTTTCAACAAATATCACAATGAACACTTTGGAATGGATATCAGTGATGCCAACCTTAAGATGAAAGAACATCTACAATCCAAAGTTTCTTCAGCATACAGATCCACTGCTAATCAAATCGATAAGATGGAATATCATCTTCAGTCTGTTGCCAGGGGAGCAGGTGACAAGTATAGGGACTTGATAAAAAATGGTTGGCCACAGGCAGACGCATCAGTCTTTGTGAGTTATGATGAAATGAAGGCAAAGTTGTTTGATAATTCTGTTGTGCTTTTGAGAAAGTACAAGGACACAGTGAAAGAGCTTATTGATGCAGCCATTGAGTTTTTGAAGATGACAAGGTTTCAGTTACCTGGTCAATCTCAGAAGTATACAGGTGAAGAATTGCTTTCCATGGGTGTGAAAAAGGCAATGACATATGTTGATCTATGCTATCAAAGACTTCAGCAATGGTTTGATGCAGTCATCCAGTCAATTAATGATGTCAAATATGAAATACCAGGTATAAATCTAACTATTGATGGTACAAAAATAATTTCATCCATTAAAACCTTCCTAAAAGAGCTGAATAGAGTAACAAAAAAAGTATTTACTGACATTCAGGATGCAAGTTTTGAGAACACACTCAAACAGCTTCAGAATTTCATTAACGAGATTTCACAAAAATCTGAGAAACTTATTGAAACCTTAAGGTCAAGAGACTATCAAGATATAAGGGATAAGACCCAGCAGATGTACAGGGAAGCCCTGAACTCACAATATGCTAGAAATCTCAATGAACTGGCAGACAGGATCAAAAAGGTTCTGGACCAGTTGCAAATAATTTTCCAAAGTGCATATGAAGAGTTGTCTGAGAAATTAGAGCAGTTGATGATCTATGGCAAAGCCCTCCGTGAAGAATATTTAGATCCAAACATCGTTGGCTGGTCAGTCAAATATTATGAAATTGAAGAAAAGATTATTAAACTGGTGAAAGAGATCATTGCGTCATTAAAAGAACTGCCTGAAAAATATGGAATAAATGTGTCAGAAGCATTAGATAATGTGAAAGAATACCTGATTGTGTATTACCAAAATGCTGATGATGCCATGACCTACACAGAAGATAGGGCAAGACAGGTGTTGAAATTGCTCAATGAAAAAGTCGCAGATTTACCTAACACTGCCAGAAAAGTCTCAGAAGAACTTTATCAGATGCTTACTAGGAAACTGCAAGACACCTATGATCAACTTTCTGGTTCTTATGAGAAACTTATCACTGAGTCAGCCAGACTGGTGGAATTTGTCATCGAAAAGTACAACTCTATTGTAGAATTCATTATGCAACTTTTTCAGAATTTTGAGAAGGCTGCCAGTGAAGAAATAAAAACATACGTGTCAACACGTAAAGGTGAGCTTAAAGTTGATGTACCTCATCCATTCAACTGGAAATCCTTTGATGAAATGCCCAAACTTAGAGAAGACCTCATAAACAAAAAAATGGAAATCGCACGCTCAATGGTATTTGATGGTATTGATAAAGGCTCAAAAAAATGGGACGAACTACAACGCTTCATTGAGAAACAACTTGAAGGAGGAAAACTGAGCGTGCAACAAATTCTAGAGAATATTGAGAACTGGAAAAAAAACTGAATGGACATTTTGTACTGTAGTATCATGAAAAGTTTTTAAGCTGTTTAAAATTAAGAAACAATCATTATCTATATATATAATTTTAATACTTATGTTGTTTCTCTGTGGGTGAAAACAAAATTGTCAGTTTCTTTGAAGTTAAGCTAAATAAAACCAGTATTTGCTATAAGTTGGCATTATTTTCATCTATAGCTTTTTCAATTGTTTGCATTACGCAGAATCATCATTAAAGAGACACCGCATTCAATAAAGCCTTCATGCCTTTTATTTTAAAACGTAGTAACCCAGATGAAAAAGACTGCTCAATGTATATTTACTATTTGGTTTTCTGTCTAATTCCATTAAATGAGAAAATCAGATCTAACATTTTTTTTATGTGTTAATTTCTCAGAGCCAATATCAGTAGCATTAACTGATATTGTCTCTCCATAAACAGTGAGGTCACTTAATATCTCCTATAATGTCCAAAACTCCACATTTTGTTATGTAAAACAGAACAGAATGTCTCTGCAGTGGACAAATGAATGACTCGAGATATGTAATCTTGAAATACCAAACCAAGCATTATTTGGGTATTGTTTTAAACTTAAGCAGGGGTTTTCCTGAGACTAATGATCGACCCTTGGTAGCAGGATATCTAACTAGGTTTCACTACAGAAGGTTACTGGCAGGCAATAATACAATTTACCCCCATCTCCAGTGGGATTGATGCTTAGTTCAAGGGAAGAGGACCCAAACACAAGAGTGTATCTATAACGTGTGCTGCCAAGTGAAGTGAGTGTTGTCTATTTCTGGCCATTGTCTTCAATACCTGAACTATTTTTATGACCAAGCAATGACAGCATATGCAGTTTTTAGTGCTTCTTATATTCAGCACTAATATACATAACAATGATAGACAACCTGTGATTATTCAAGGCAAACCAATTTATTTTAAAGAAAAAAACTTAAATGAAAAATGGTAGTACACCAATACTTGCATCATTTTTTAATAAAAGGATTGTAGTAGGAATCAGCGTGACAGTAAGCTGGTGAAAATTTTTAAATTCATGATTTTTCACACTGATGTATAGCTTTGTGGAACTTGTCAGGGATAAATGTGAAACTCAACACATATTATTTATGCATAAAATCTAATTAATTGCTTCATTTTACATTAAGAGCAGAACATATGCTCGTTGTGTGGGTGACTCCGATCAAAAAAACGGTAAATACTAAATTCTTTTTTCTGTGTACTAGGACCACCACATATAAACACAGAAAAGGAGTAAAATAAAACATAAAATAAAAAAGGACACTTAAAACACAAGCGAGCAATGAGATTAGGATATTGTGTTTTTGATTTTACGACTGTCCTTGGGTTTTAAGTTATTTTTTTGGCAGGATATGGGAATATGATAAATCACATAATATCTTTAAATTGCTTTCGTAACAGCTTGGAAGCTTGCTTTAAACAACTTATTAACATTAACAGAGAGGTTATTGTGCTTATAGACGTCACTGAGAATGGATGCCATTGGATTTAGCACACTTTCTTAAACTTAGAGAGCAAGTTATATTAATTATTCACATACTATGACACATGCTTTAATGTTCCATCAGCTAGCTCTGTTACTTGACAAATGAAACATGTTTTTTCGGGTTACTAAGCAATGCAAAAACAACTGTATACAAACTGTAAATGTTATTTTTATTAGTTTGTTCTTGATTTGAGAGATTCACAACTTTGGTATATTACAAAAGACATGAATTCCTTTTTGTTTACTGTTATTTCTCTTACTAGTTAGCCACATTTTTATAAGGCATAAATTATATACCAAAAAAATCACTTGTGAACTGAAACAAGATATAGAACTAACTACAAAGAATCAAAGAATCAAAAAATTAATTTAGTCGTGAATGGATCAGACAGACCCATCTACTCCTGAAATGGAGCTGAATGGCTCTAAAATCAACACTTATACTACCTGTAGAAACAATGTATACATAGACCAGTTGACTCTGTAAGCAACCTAAGGGCATAGGCCGCATAGCTTTAAGACCTTTATAAATAAATAAAACGTGAGGTAATAAATACCCCTGTGATCCTTTAAAATGGCTGTTTTAAAGTTCACATTAACTATCTCAATGTATGTAAGGTTGGTGATGGCAGATAGGGAACCAGTCCCAGGAGAAACTTATAATTTTTTGTGTCCATGGAACCCACACAAAGGATATGTTATTTTTTTTAGCTATATCTTCTATCAGGGCACATTATTTATTTAATAATTTATTCAGGATTTTATTGATATTTAAACACTAGGTGAACTTACGTTACATAAAATGTGCTCTTTCTGGGCTAATCAAATATTCTTTAGTATATAGAAAAACTGTAAAGACACCAATTAAACTGTTAATAGCTCCTGACTGATTCCTCTTCTGCAACTGTCACTAGTCTAATACTATCCTTACCTTTTTGTGTCATTTTACCCCACTCCCTCTAGCATGTAAGCTCATTGAGCAGGGCCCGCAACCCCTCTGTTCCTGTGTGTCCAACTTGTCTGGTTACAACTACACGTCTGTTCGTCCACCCATTGTAACCCGCTGCGGAATTTGACGGCGCTCTATAAATATCATAATAATAATAATATTTGGCAAAATTACAGTAAGTTTAATCAATGTAATACTTCAAGATCACTGTATTTTAGTTCCCACATGAGAGAGAATGGTCAGTTAATTATCCTCCATTAACTTTCAACCTTAGTGAAGAATTTGGCGAATAGACCTATTGTTCATGTGAGTTTTTGTAATTGTCTCATTTATTGTTAAATCTCCCCATTTGATAATATTGTAAAGCGCTATGGAATATGCTGGCGCTATATAAATACCAGTAATATTAATAATAATAATAACTAAGATGAAGGAAATCTGGTAGCATGGCTTCTAATTCTCAGTCTGTACCTTTAAGCTGCAGTCTTCAAATTAAATGGGCTTGTTATAGGGGTAGATGTAAAACTGGCCCTTTAAGCTGCAGTCTTCAAATGAAATTCTTCTTCATTGCAGATTCTAACATTGTGGGGTTATATTGTTCAGTGGTTTAGGCAATACAACAACATCAAAAACAATGTATGAAAGTAAGACTAGAGACATTGGCTAATCCAAGTGTCACTGTCTTCTCCATTCGATCCAAACAGTAACCAGTCTGCTTTGTGCATAGATTATCTGAGGAGTCTGTCTTAAAATGTGTGGTCTGGATAGCTACTTGGGTTTCCTTGACCTAAGATGCACTATTAAACACAGCGCAAAACGTACAAACTTCATCCCTGCACTACCAAGAATTTTACACAAAAAATGACCACCAGAATGTTTCTTTATGTGTTCTGTAGCGGAATAGTTAAATATGCATGTATAGCTCATTTTTAATAAAAAAAAAAAAAATTGTGTGGGTTATTTACAGACAGATAACACTTAACATCTTCTTCATTAAAGGACCACTCTAGGCACCCAGACCACTTCAGCGTAATGAAGTGGTCTGGGTGCCAGGTCCCTCTAGGATTAACCCTTTTTTTTAATAAACATAGCAGTTTTAGAGAAACTAAATGGGTTAATCCAGCCTCTAAAGCCTCTAGTGGCTGTCTCATTGACAGCCGCTAGAGGCGTTTGCGTGCTTCTCACTGTGAAAATCACAGTGAGAAGCTGCCAGCGTCCATAGGAAAGCATTATGAATGCTTTCCTATGAGACTGGCTGAATGCGCGCGCAGCTCCTGCCGCGCATGCGCATTCAGCCGAAGAGGAGGAGAGGAGGCGGAGAGGAGGAGGAGAGCTCCCTGCCCGGCGCTGGAAAAAAGGTAAGATTTAACTCCTTCCTCCACCTAGAGCCCGGCGGGAGGGGGTCCCTGAGGGTGGGGGCACCCTCAGGGCACTATAGTGCCAGGAAAACGAGTATGTTTTCCTGGCACTATAGTGGTCCTTTAAACAATTTGATTCATCCGGCATGGAAACCCTTTCTGTTCAGTTATAAAATGTTTAGTTTATAAACAAATCTAAAGTGTTAGTGTGCAGGACAAACTGATTTGTTTAAGGCATGGGTTCCCAAAAGGAAGACCTACAATTTCCATGGGTATGACGTGGCACCCCACATTGTAAGACATTGAAGTGTTTCTTTAGATAACAGATGATCCATTCTCAGCTTGGATTATGCTAAATTGAATGTTAAGTCTGTGTAGAGCAGAGGTGCCCAAACGGTAAATCCCCAGATGTTGTGGAACTACAACTCCCATGATGCTTTGCATGCATCTATAATGCTTTAGAATGACAAAGCATCATGGCAGCTGCAGTTTTAAATCATCTAGGGATCTGCTTCTTGGGCACTTGTCTAGAAAACTTATGACAAATTCTGATACAGAATAATAAATGTAAAAACTAGAAAGTTCCATTTTATATCAACAACAATCATTGATATATGATATTTCTATATTTACCATCGATACAAATGTATTTATAAACAGTGATTCATGCAATAACAGGTAAGTGAATAAATTAAGGGTTACCTATTAAAGGTTAATAAGCATTTTGGGATGTAGATAAAAAATACCCTTTTCTGTCTCATTAGAGATATCTTTGCCAGAAGCTCAAGGAAGCAAGGTGAATGGTTAGAGTTAGGACCCACCTAAGAGGTCTGCCTTGACTTGGCAGGTGGGCATACCCTCTCATGGCCATTGGAGGTAACTTAAAACCTCCATTTGTTTAAATATAAATAGGGATTTTGGAAAGAGCGCAGGTAACTTTTTTCTTAGTTTTTTACAGTATGTATCTGGGCTGATGTGTACTATGATCATTGCTGCCGCCCAGGAGTAATGGGAATTTGAGCGCAGGACTTGTTTTTTTGTATTTGAATAAATTAAAATGATGACATGCTAAGTCTTGGTGGAAAATTGTTGGCAGCTACTGATGCCGAATGTTGTAACCTGTGGTTGTATGCTCATTTTTTAAGCCCCTAACTTGGAAGACACATGATCTTGTAAGGTTTTAAGAGGTGGATTTGAGAATTAATTGCTGTGCCAGTGCTTACGGGATAACACTGTAAGTGCAAATCCAAATGTCACGCAGGGTGGGAATATTGTGTGCTCACATCATGGCATACCCAATCATTATTCTTTCTTTTTCTTTTTCCAATTTTTACTGTTTTATTTAGCACATAGTATCCAATGTGTCCAAGAGACATAGTCCTTAACCTGACCTGGCCAAGGTGGCTGCCAGAGGGATGAGGAAACATTCCAAATTCCTTTCCAGTTATTCTGATGTGAGTTCTGACTAATTGAATGTGTCATTATCAAACTGACCTTGTAAAAGAAAGGTCAAACACAACTTATCTACAAGGTAGCTAGTGAGGTTTACCACCCTCAACTTGCTACCCAAGATCATTTTAAAACAAAAATCATGCCAAACAACCCAGGGCAGGATAAAAACATTGGTTGGCTTTAAAGGGACACTATAGTCACCAGAACAACTACAGCTTATTGAATTTGTTCTGGTGAGTAGAATCATTACCTTCAGGCTTTTTGCTGTAAACACTGTCTTTTCAGAGAAAATGCAGTGTTTACATTACAGCCTAGTGATAACTTCACTGGCCACTCCTCAGATGGCTGTTAGAGATCCTTCCTGGGTCATGGCTACCTAAAATGCATCCAAACATTCAGTATATCCTATTCATTGATTAAATTCATCTCTATGAGGAGATGCTGATTGGCCAGTGCTGTGTTTGAATCATGCTGGCTCTGCCCCTGATCTGCCTCCTTGTCAGTCTCAGCCAATCCTATGGGGAAGCATTGTGATTGAAACAGGCCACCACTTCTGATGATGTCAGCAGACAGCTTTTTTTTCTGACACAAACAGCATGCAGATCTACAGCTTCAGGCTTGAATACAGTAAGATTTTAGTATATTTATGGAGGCATGACAGGCCCGGGGGGATAGATGGTGGTTTTAACACTATAGGGTCAGGAATACATGTTTGTGTTCCTGACCCTATAGTGATCCTTTAAACATAATATTAGACTGTAGTGTTTCACATAAATTATTGCTTATTATCAGATTACACAGAGCACATTTCAGAAGAATTTGGAGAGATTTTCTTCTTCTTGGGAATTTCAATAGGCTCTACTTCAGGGTTTATAAATGTGATTTGAAGAATGACCTTACTCAATTTAGGGCTTTATAAATCTAGTGAATGACCTGCAAATGTCAGCCTCTGAATTGTCCCAGATTGCTCCAAATAGTTTTTTTGGAATTTTGCCTCAACAAATGTGGGACTTAATGATAAAACCCCTTATTGGGGGTGCTCTGCGCAATCACATAATAACAATAATATTACTTATCCTTTGATTTACAAAAACATTTAATGTCAGATATGATTTCAATATCAATCTTGGTGTTTGTATTAGAAAGGAAATGTGTTGCTTGTTGAAAAGCATTTTGAACTTTGCCTTTTAGTTCACAAACTCCTTGGCAAAAACAGCTCAATTCCCAGGCCACAGACTGATCAGGTGGACACATAGAGTCAAAAAATGTTTTACAAATATTTTACTACAACTATCTATTAAAAGTAATGTGGGCTAAACATCAACATGATTTCAAACCCCCAACATTAGCATCCCATAAAGCAGGACACGGTGAGATGGAAAAAATAAAGGCAGGCCAGTGACACAAACTGCGTCAATAGCACCACCCAAAAAGGTCCCTGAAAGTGGGGAGGGTTTTTCTGAAGAATAGGCAGGTCAGCCTGGCGTAAATATATACCAGACCAATAGAGATGTCGCGAACTGTCCGCCGAACTGTTCGCGAACTGTCCGCCGGCGAACAATAGCCAGTTCGCGTTGGGTGAAAATATCTGATTTCCGGTCCGCCCCTATACGTCATTATTGAGTAAACTTTGACCCGGAACCTCACAGTCAGCAGACACGTCCTGGGAGGGAGGTTCAGCTGCTGATTGGGTGGAATGTGTCTGCTGGCTGTGAGGTTCCGGGTCAAAGTTTACTCAATGATGACGTATAGGGGCGGACCAGAAATCGGATATGTTCGCCCAACGCAAACACGCTATTGTTCGCTGGCGGACAGTTCGCGAACAGTTCGGTGGACAGTTCGCAACATCTCTACAGACCAACTACCAATCCCGCAGGCTAGCCCACTAAGGACAAATCATGCAGAGAGAACTGTACAGAGATCTCCTCATGGTCCCAGAGCTCTTGACATAGCATCATTACATGTACTCATGCTATGGTTTCTGGAGACAGCTCCCTAGTGTCCCCAAAAGAGAACAAACTTGGGATGGATGGACAGAATCCTGAAAAAGGAATTGATTCACCGAAATCGGGACAGTTACGAGGCCTGTAATTTCTCTTTAAAAAAGGTTAAGTACACTGACGGCTTAATTTAAAATAAGCTGCCATAAAAAAGCAATACTTTTTGTCATTTGCAGCTGTGCATGAACGTTTATCTTACACAGGAACACACACAATCATCTGTCTATTTATATGAACAGGGCACATTGTTCCTTACATTTCTTGTAAAAAATATTTTATTTTATTTCACATTTTACAACCTACTCTGCTCTGTGTTAGAATCTTGAAAGCATTATAACAAACACTTTCATGGTTTTGCAGACTAATCAAAACTCCAAATAATTCCTATTGTTATCTCTTTGTAGCTCCAAAGCTTAGAAAACTAATTTTATTTGATGTCTTCTGTAAATTTCACTCTTCATCCTTACTTCCCTTACAAGATTATTGTTAAGAGATTAGACGTGCAGTGGAAATCATCCCTTAGTAACTATAATAATAAAAAAAAAAAAATTGTAAATACTCTTCAATTAATAAATTGCATGTCTAGAACTTATGGTTATTTTTTTTCAGTCTGAGCTAAAAAAGCAATGAGTTGCATAAGAAGAAACAATACAAAACGTATCGTCTAATCAGCAGCATATGCTTGATGAGTCTCCTCCCAACTCACAAGCCTTGGAAGAAGCAATGAAATTATAACAAATGAAGCCGTTGTTTTTAAAAATGACCAGTTTCCTTTTCTTTAGTAACGGATTGGCTATTGCTCACGCCTGTAAGTGTTATTGAAGTATAGTAAATATGAGTTATGAGACTATTAACTGCCTGATTGTAAAACAAATTGTGTTGCCATCTTTTTGAGATGCCCTGCTTAGCATTTGTCCCATGATCCCCTGTAAGCACAGAGGTAACACATTTCCTCCTAAAAAAAAATTGCACTGATAACTGTTAAATGGATTTGTAATTGACTTAAACACTCCAAGTACCATAACCACTACAGAGCACCGTAGTGTTTGTGGTGTCAGAAGTGACCTGGCACCCCACATTTTAAGACATTGTAGTGGTTATGACGCTAGGAGTGTGGATGATTCATTATCTGCCTGGATTATGCTAAATTGAATGTTAAGTCGGTGTAGAGGATCAGGATTAGAAGAACAAAGAGTCATTTTTCAATGTTGTCACTAGGTTTTACCGGCAAGGTGTTACTCACTACTGTTGTTAAAAATAGTGACTACTTGCTGCTTCCAAACCACTAAGTCATACCAACAGAGGATTGGAATTGCCGGCTGAAAGGATGTTTAAAGGGATACTATACGGGTTAAAAACCCTTTATTTACTGACCTTTTTCCCAGCGCCAATGTCCCTCAGCAGTGGGCCGATCCTCAGCCCCCTCCGACGGTCTGTGACTAGTGGTGCTAATGTGCATGTGCGGCAAATGTCACATGCGCGCATTAGTTTGCCCTATAGGAAGGCATTAAATCAATGCTTTCCTATGAGGAAAAATCTGACGCTGGGTGTCCTTATTATCAAGAGCGTGATGATAATAAGTTTCGGCTCACCTCTGGAGCCTTCTTCAGGATGTTATGTTTGTCATCCTGAAGAAGGCTCCAGAGGTGAGCCGAAACGTTGATGTGTACTTTTTATTTCTGAATTTGAATTAAAAGTTATATTTTACTTCATCTGAAAGTCCCTGGAGTGCTGTCCGTTTACTGGAATATTTATATGGAATATTTATAAAAAATAGATTTATTTACTGCTTTATTTCGTGTTCACTTTTTCTCACTTGATCTGTAAACCAAATTACGAGAAATTTCTATTTGTATTATGTGTATCTTTTGCAATACACTGAAACATTTTTGCATCCTTTTGGTCAATCTGACTTGTTTATTCAAATCTTTTCAGGGGAAGAACCACCACGTGCACGAGATTCTGCCTTTCAAAAAAAACATTTATTTTCCAATGAATTGGTTCAGCTAAAATAATTTTTTCTTCCGTGAACAGGTCTATGAAAAAGGAAGAAATAGATTCAAGAGAATAAGTCGGGTGTGAAGGAGGGGGAAAAGAAGAAGATCTAAATGTAGTCTAGAAAGAAAGAGGCGCCCACACCGAATATAGCGCGACTATATTAGAAAAGGGGATGACTCTCTCAGCCAGTGTATCCATTCTACAAACCGGTCACTAGGTGGTATAGAACCCCCACACAACTACACAGATTTTGGCCCATGATAAGCGACCAATGCTGGAGGTGTGGGGAGGCAGCGGGGACCATGGAGCATATATGGTGGTTCTGCAAACAGATTAGGCCATATTGGGATCAAATCATACAGACCATGCAAGACATACTCCCTCTGAGAAATACACACTGACCTCATCAAAGGTTCTGCTGGGCTGGCCGAACTCCATCCCGCACAGGCACTACCAAAAATGAATACAAAACAATAGGCGGAGCCGCATAAAACCTTAAATAATCTGTAAGACAAAGTTAAATATACACAAAATTGCGTAGTATGTCTATACAATGGTGTAAAGTAAGAAGAACGAATAGTAGTTCCACTCACAAGACCAGAGTTATACCATCATATGACTCTAAATGTATGCTTCTTTGGACCATTAAGGGGTTGTCCAGACCCTTTTAAAGCCGGATTCTTGGTGTTCCCCCTTATGTTCCTTTTAATAGATGTTCCCAATAAAGCTGTCGAATTTCCAAATGGTCCTTTATAACAAATGGTTTTATTATAGTAAAAATATATTCCATATACCAGAAACAACTGGTTAAAAGTAAAATTCAATAAAAGTCCTTTAGGATAAAAGTCCAATAAAAATTTCCTAGTTGATGAAAAAGTCCAAAACGCGTTTCGCCTATTAATTAGGCTTCCTCAGTTGGATATAAGTGTCTGGTCTTCTTTCCCTTCTTTTAAATGTCCCGCCGGACCTCCTTCTCCAATTAGGCGGTCACTTCTGGTTTTGCGTGTGTTGGAACGCAACGTGCAACTACCAAAAATGACTACGCCTTCTACTGGAAGAAGCCAATGCATTAATCCCAGTTTACTGGCGCCAAACCCAAATCCTGAATAAGGAACAATGGCTCATCAGAGTGGAAAGTATAAGGAAATTGGAGGAACTACACTGGTCGGTGGAGGGTAAACGTACAGCATACCTACAGACATGGGAACCTTGGTTAGAACACTGGAGTCAATAAACAGAACACACAGCTCCACCAGAGTGGAATTATTGGGTAATCTAGTAGGACAGAGGCCATAAGATACCCCCTCATCCTACCCTCATCCCTTAAGTTTCACTTACCTTACTAGCTACTGACAGTCAAGACTTTGTGGAGGGGTAGAGGGATGTTGAGAGACTGGGGAAACACGGCCGAAATATCACAGAGGAGACAGTAGGTCTGAACCCTATGGAACAGAGATAACAAGTCAGGCAAATTTATTCACTCAGACCAAAGTGACATTCCTCATCAGGCAGTTGGCTGACACACCCTCTTAAAGGTTTCAGAGGACAGCTGACATAGCACTGGTACAGTGATCTAGGTAACACAGGACAAGAGATGAACCCCCGGGCCAAATGCTCACTATCCTGTCCCACTCCGAATATGTAACAGTAATTAAACAATGACCCCCCACTAAATATGTGAAATGTTACCCCCTTTTTCCTTTCTGTACCCCCATTTTCTTTGCAATGTGAAAATAAAACACTGAAATAAAAAAATAAAAAGAAATAGGCATTAAAGCTTGGAGTGGAGATGTGTTTGGCTGGGTAGAGGGAAACATGTTGGGGGGCAAGAACCTAGCCATGTGCTTCATATTCTGGAAGGAAGCCGGGTGATATGAATGACTTGAAAAGACAAGATAAGAGTTTCAGAGATAGTTACAAGATGTGTAGCATGATTGACAAACAAAGGCAACAAAAAGGTAAAAAAGAATGAAGATGGAAGAAAGGTTTTCATTTTGCAGATATTAACTGGGACTTCATGCAGGTTGAGGACATTAATTTAGCTACATTACATCATGCAGGGTTAAGTGATTTATTTAATTACATCTTTTACTTTGCAGTTATTTTTTTCCATTTTTTATTAATGTAAAGCCACATTAACTGACACAATGTGAAAATGTGCCCATTGTAACAGATGTCAGTGTGTCAGTGCATTAACTAATTAATCAATTAATTACATAAATTAATACAAATTTATAGTTTATCATAAGTTTTGTAAAATTAGTCCTTTCCCAGTTCTTTTTTAGAGAACGTCTCCATTTCTAGAATGGGATATTGTAATTATCATGGCATTAACATATAAAACTTTATTTTTTGTATATTATTGGACAAATTATTATTTTTACATTCAAGTATTTAAACTCATTCCTTAATATTTTCCTTAATGTTTTGATAATACACATTATTGAGAAATATTGTTAATTAAAATTAATTAAAATTAAATTGAAAAAAAATCTACCATCCATCCATCAATATTATCATATAATAATTGAGATAAATGATTTAATAAATGAATGTGCAAAAAAACATTTTACCGTCCTTTTTTTCTCTTTATAACATATGTGCTCACATGCATATTAATCGAATCTATTCTGTGCAAATGCTAAGTGTTGTTAATATTTGTGGCTCCTCTTTAGCAGCCTCTGGGTGGGATTGTAGAAGAAGGTGATGATCCTCTAGGAATGTGAGGGGGTGAAAGGCAAATTATTGGAATGACACATTAAATCTGGATCAAGTATTACCTTTTGTAAAATGACTTCCTGAGGTTAAGAAGCGTATTCTCTTTCTGATGGACAAGTATGTAATTCAATAAAATGCTGACTTTGCCCACACAGATTCTAAATGTAAGCTGTTTATGTTGTAGATACTGAAGTCTGACAGTTCTGGTTAAAATGGTATTTGCAAACGACTCATTTGAATAGTTGTGAAGCATTTTTCTTATAATTTCTCTCAAAATGTGTCTATCGCGCTCCTTCATCTGTTTCATTTACAATTTTAAAATTTTTACAAGTTTAATTTCAAATTTGTCTATAATTTGCCAACAAAATTATATATGTATGTATATTATGAATTTATAAAATGAGAGCAAGTTCCAGTGTTCTATGTTTGAGCCAACATATTGGAAACAATTCATGCATGGTCACATATTTATATATTTAAACCTCATGCTGATGATTTGCATTAACAATGAAACAGCTGTCCATGAGTGGTTCACTGACTTTGCATCTTTTCCTAAGTTGTGTTTCAAAGCTGTTGTATACAGCAAACACAGACTCAAAGTTTAAAATGGAATGAGGCAAAAATGTGATTCTTTGTTGAACTAATTTGCATATGCCCACCCAGAATCCTTTGCGGTAGTAACATCACTGCAAATTTGAGATTTCTGTGGGAAAACCAAGTCTTATGGCTTGACTGGTGTGCAGATTTTTGTTTAACATTGTATTGACTATATATACACACACATACCCTAAGTGAGTTAAGCCTCTCTTCCTTGGGAAGTCTTCAGTATACGACCCTGTGCAAAGGTGTCCCCCTGAAGATACCCCTTTAGTGACCAGGGGTTTATCTTGCAGTGAACCTAGGGGTAGCAAGAGAAAAATGCCAAATACAATGGATTCCTTGCAGTGACCAAACGATAGCAGGAGGTGGAGAGAAGAAATACTCATCATGGACTGCATATAATTCTTTCTTTTAATTATCTAGCATCTCACTGATAGATATTTATACTTATAAGGTATATATATATATATATGTATACATGTGGATGCCAGATACCCCCTTATACCTCTTTACTACTTTCCCATTTATTTTCAGGACAAAAACAGGCAGAGAGAGATGTAAGGTATGTTTTTTCTTGCCATTATTTTATTCCTTGGTGGTCTAGGGGTATTGTTTATGTATTTCCCAGCTTTTTCTACGAAAATGTGGGGCTCTAGGAGTAATTTTTTGTCGGCACCCAGCTTATGGTGTCCTGTTAGACGTACTGCACATGCGCGAATGAATGAGCACGTCATGCCGTTTCATCGAATGCGCGGAAGTGCCGATTCGCGCATGCGCATGAGTCCCGACGGGTCCATGCATAATGACGTCATTAATGATGTTGCGCACCCTTTAATAAAACGCCCAAAACAAACAATTTTTACCTGTTTAGGTTCTTCAATCTTCAAAGATCTGTATTGCCTGACTTCTCGGTTCTAATTTGGAAATTCGTACAAACATTATTTCTGTGCTTCAGGTAAGTACCTTCAGAACTTGGAGGAAGACATTGAAAAGGGCAGAAGCAGATGCTCTCTTCTAGACAGCCTTAGAGACATGAAGTTATTATCAGTAGACATTTTTAGAGCCTTGGAAATATGTCTCTCTCCGTTTCAGCTAGAAGAGCACTATGGCTCACATCCTGGTTGGCCGATGCATCATCCAAATCTAGTCTGTGTGCACTATCTTTCCATGAAGATATGTTATTTGGAAAGAATCTAGATGAATGCATAAAGAGGGGTGCGGAAGAGGGCTCTTCATTCCCGCAAGAATCCCAGATCATTATGGCGGGTTTCCATCCCAGTCAATAGGAGCACGCTTATTGCTATTCCAAAAGACATGGGAGCAATCCATAAAAGACAAATGGGTTCTGGATATTATTCAAAGAGGATATCTTATAGAATTCTCCAGAATTCCTCCAAGTCACTCTTTTCAAAAAACAAAATGGCCAGGAGAAAGAGAAAAATGGAAAAGCCTAAAAATATTTATTACAACCCTCCAAGAAGAAATTGTTATAAAATTTTCCAAAGTCTTGGTCATTCTAGTAGCAGAACTCAGAAAAAGGGGCATAGCCATTTACCACTATCTAGACAACATCTTAATTGTGGCAGACAACAAAGATACCCTACCGATTCATGGTCAGATCTGCATGCAATACCTTCAATGTCACAGATGGAAGATCAACAGAGCAAAATATCAACTAACTCCATCTCAGAACATGAGTTATTAAAAAACTTTAACGGCACAGTTCAACTATCACCAGAAAGAGGTACAAGACTTATAAAGAAGGTCAGAGAGATGTTGGTATCTAGTGTAACCTCGGCAGAAAAGAGCATGAGTTTACTGGGTTCCATGTCCTCCTCTATAGGCCTGACAAGGTGGGCACAATGGAAAATGAGAACATTTCAGGACAATTTCCTGTGCCAATTTAGATCAGGAAATCTACTACAACCCTTTAACATTCCTCCCCAGGTTTACCAGTCTCTGTTGGTGGCTACACAAAAAGTTCATATTCAGAGGATTTCCCCTGGGAAACATTCATTGAACTGTAATAACTACAGATGCCAGTCAACGGGGATGGGGAGCCCATCTTAAAAACACTTTTGTTCCAGGGAAATAGGCATTCTCAGCAGAAAACACTCCTTCCAACCTTCTTCAACTGATGGCAGTTTACAGAGCTCTGAAGTATTTCCAACAACATCTTCTAGAAAATGGGTCAAAATAACAACAGACAAATCAGCAGTTGTAGCGTATATACATTATCAAGGAGGATGATGAGAATAATGAGACTATTAATGTCTTGGGCACAAACACATCTAGCAGGCCTTTCTGCCATTCACCTGCTACGAATACAGAACTTGATGGCCGACTTCCTAAGCAGAGTGGAAATAGTTCCAGGAGAGTGAAGTCTATCGAACAAGATATTCAAGATGATAACGGAGAAATAGGGATTTCCACAAATAGACTTAATGGCGACAAACAAGAACAAAAAGGTGAAGGACTTCTTCTCCAAACCCTAGATCCACAAGCCATAGGAAGAGATGCACTGTAAGGTAGATGGCCATTCAGTCTAGGATTTGCTCCAACTCCTCTCATCTTTCCCCTTCTAAGGAGACTGAGACAATAGAAGGTATCCATCATCCTCATAGCCCCATGCTGGCCACGCAGACATTGTTTTCCTATCCTGTTGAGTTTGTGCAAAGAAGATCCATGGCAGCTTCCAAACGTTCCTTATCTACTCCAACAAGGTCCAGTTCTTCATCCAAATCCAGTCTCCCTCAATCTGATGTTTTTTCCAAGCAGTGATTAACACTTTATTGCAAGCAAGGAAGCGTTCCACTTGCACAACATATTACAGAGTCTGGGATGTTTTTCCACATGGGCAATGATTAAACAGATAGACTTTCAGAAAGCATCTAATAAAGATATTCTTTAATTCTTGCAATCGGGACTAGATAAGGGTCTAAGTTATAATACCTTGAAGGTACATATCTCACCACTTTCGGCTCTTACGGACCATAAATGGGCCTTCGACAGAGATGTAGCAAGATTCATGACAGCAGTCTTGAAGATAAAGCCACCTATCAAGCCTTTTGCAAGCCCATGGGATTTACCGCTGGTTCTAAAAGCTCTCAAATCTCATCATTTTGAACCTTTAGATTCAAGTTTGCCTCATCTTCTGACCATGAAGATGGTTCTTCTGGTGGCATTAGCTTCGGGAAGAAGGTTATCAGAACGTAATGCTTTATCTGCTAAAGAGCCCTTCACAGTCTTCCATAAAGATAGAGTGATTTTAAGAACAATTCTTTAATTCCGACCAAAAGTAACTCCATCATTCCACATAAATGAAGAGATAGTACTCCCAGCATTACATTCAGAGGAACAAAATGAGGGAGGGAGGGAATCTAATTAGG